TTTCCAAACTGATATTTCTAATTCGATACTTTCAATAGTTTCCAAACTGATATTTCTAATTCGATACTTTCAATAGTTTCCAAACTGATATTTCTAATTCGATAATTTCAATATCCCGCCAATCACATTGCTCAAAGCCAACTTTAAAAATCTTGAGATTCTTGTATCCAATAGGATTTTACATCCAAGATCTTCCATTTATTCTTTGCCTACATATAATGTAATTATATTTCCCCTCTTTCAAAAGTCTAGGGTGGGTTCTCCTCTGTAAAGGGCCTTTGTGGGTGGGTGTGTTAGAACTGTAGTTTTAATGATTTGGTCTTAATTTTTGTTAGGGGTCATTGGCAACTCCCCACCTTGAACCACCTTTTAATTATTGATGATGGGTAACTTATCATTGAAACTCCTGTTATAAATTGATGATGACCACCCTCCCCCCCACCCCTAATTCCCCTTAAACCCATGCTTTTTCATTGATTTATACATGTTTAGAAAGTATGCAGTGAATGTTGCAACTGTTTTTGCAGTACATGTTTACCCAGGTAGAGTATAGTACATAAACAAACAATCATTTTATGTTTTTAGACTTTAATCTTTGAAATATGAATACAATATGATTTCATTTAAAACCTTAATCTTAATAAGAAATGAAAAGATATCGTTGTATAGAAATACAAGAACCACGATTGAAATGAAAATTAATTGAAAAATAAACCTTAATTCAATTTTTGATGGAACCTTATTTTGTAGTGAGAATGGGAAATCGACAAGAACCTGTGCCAGATGTAAAGTAAGATTTAAAGAAAAATTATTATCAATAAAAAAGTAAAAAGTGGAACAAAAGTCGTCTTACTAATTAACTTAATTTTTTAATTTGTAACTGTTGAAACTCTGAAAGTTGATCAATTTGAACTTTTCCTAGATTTGGGAGAAAATAATGTATACTTCAAAACCTTGTTTACCTCTTCTTCAAACTATGAATTCCAATAAATTATTTAATGTCACTAAAAGCTAAAATTCAGAGAAAAGACCTACTGCTTACCAGGACGTAGTTAGGAATTTTTCTGGGGGGGGNTTGCCCACTACGCCTCTGCTGCACTAATGATTTATATCTAGGTACTTGAACGAAAACCCGGTGAAAGAACGGAGCTTATGAAACTCAGGCAGTTATATTTATATAACAAAACAATATTATTTAATTGTTTTTGTTATCACAAATCTTTATAGGAGACCACTTTTTTATCAGAGAATTTCACTATATGCTTTGTTTTTATAATTGGGTAATTCAAAGACGTTGTTACTCTTTTGTTGTAATGTCATGTGCAGTGCTTAGGATCCATTTAATTTTGATGCGGATCTGGATCCTGGATCTGCACTGAAAAAAATGGATCCGGATCCCGATCCAGGTCATTTCTTTTAAGATTTACTGAATTTTTTAACAATAAATAATTTTCAAATTCTTTGTTTCATTTTCCCCCCTTATTTTTATCCTAAAACTTGATGAACCATTCAGAAATGAGGAAATTTTTTTAATCTCTCTTTTTTTAAAAGTTCAGATTTGAGTTTAGGAGTAAAAAGTGTTTTTTTTTTCTGCAATTTTTGGTTGATATTTTACCCCTTGAATCCGGATCCGTGGATCCGCATATTTTTACGGATCCGTATCCAGGAAGCCAAAATCTTGCGGATCCAATGGATCCGAATCCGGATCCTAAGCACTGTTCATGTGTCTTACATTTGCATGAATTTATATGTACACTGTACACTGTACACTGCACACTGCATGCTGTACACGTAACGCTGGACGCTGGACCATGTACATGATTTTGTTACATAAACTGTAAACTGAATAGAGTGAAAGATCTTCAGTTGTATCTGAGCCGACGACAGATAAATATAAAGGCCTGCGTAGGTAAATATCATATATATTATTTAAAGTTTTAATTCTAATACCAATAGCCTGAAATAAATGAAATAAAACTTGGATTGAAATACGATTTAAAAAAATAACCGTTGCGACAGTTTAGCCCAAAGACAAAATTTATATTAACACCCCCCCCCCTTCCAAATAAAAATAAGATAATAGCACTTATCTAGACATAGTTAGCACCAGCGGCTAGATCTTATTTAGAATCAATATCTTTCGCGTTCTTGATTGTTTTGACTTTGAAGGAAAAATTTGAGATTTTCTAGACTTCCATAAGTGTAAAAAACAGGACTCATTTTTTATGACCCGTTAACTAATTAAAAATCGTTAAATTCTGAAAACTTCAAATTCATAATTTTCGGAAATTGAAATAAATGTGCGTTATTATAGAATTTAAACAAATCTTTTATAAAAAACTCTTCTTTGAAAATTGAAAATCACTCTCGAACTAAGGTTTGGTTAATGACAAATTATTTAAAAACCAAATATTTGTTTAGAGAAGAAAGACCTAGTAGAGCTAGTCATAGAAACTAATGGAGACGGAGGAGAAAGAAGAAAAATCCGTCCTACTTCTCCTCCTTCCAATCCGTCCTGGCAGGATCCTTCTATACGGGTTTCTGATCAGGTAATTCGTCCTACGATTCCTCCCTCCCATCCGTGCTAGAAGGATCCTCCTATATGGGTTTCTAATCAGTTAATCCGTCCTATTCCTCCCTCCAATCCGTCCTACTCCTCCTCGCTCCAATCTGTTCTGGCAGGCTCCTTCTATTCGGTGTCTTAATCCGTTCTACTCCTCCTCCTTCCAATCTGTCCTATGCAGGACCCTTTTATACAAGTTTCTGATCATGTAATCCGTCATACTTCTCCATACAATCCGTCTTGAAGGGATCCTTCTATGAACGTTTCTGATCAGGCAAACCGTCCTGGCAGGATCCTTCTATATTTATTTTATTTAATCTGTCTTACTCCTCCTCATTCCCATCCGTCCAGGCAGGATCCTCCTACACTGGTTTCTGATTAGGTAATCCGTCCTACTCCTCCTTCCAATCTGTCCTTGCAGGATCCTTCTATACAAGTTTCTGATCATGTAATCCGTCTGGTAGGATTCATCTTTACAAGTTTCTGATCAGGTAATCCGTCATACTTCTCCTTTCAATCCGTCTTGGCAGGATCCTCTATATGGAGTTCTGATCAGGTAATCCGTCCTACTCCTCTTCCTTCAAATCCGTCCTGGCAGGATCCTCTTGTACGGGTTTCTCATCAGTTAATCTGTCTTACTCCTCCCTTCAATCCGTTCTGGCAGGATCCTTCTATTCGGGTTTCTGATCAATTAATCCGTCCTGTTGTAAGTCTTATCCATAGATCTTCGTAGACCGTGTTGCCCATGGATACGTTTCAGCTGCTAGAAGCACCGAAACCTATTAAATTGAATAAAGGGTTGTCCAATGTCCAATAATAAGATTAATGAAAATAATAATATAATGATCTAATTATTTTAGGTTCCACTTGAAAGAGCAAGCAATTTTCCAAAGAGCTATACCGAGAGCAGTCACAGGAAACATTTATCATTTTAATATAAGATATTATAAAAATTCCTCCCTGCTTTATATTTTTTATAGAAACGTAAGCTTGATTTGATGCGTAATCTAAAAATACTGTCTAAATATAATTTTCTTATCATTTATCATTTTCTTGAAGATAATTTAATAAAATGTTTTGTTAGACGAGAGTGGTTTGAGAAATTTGATGGTGAAACCGCTGACATACCGGTTGATTCAGAAACCTTCGTTACCGGGCCGGAGTCTTCCGCCGTCGGAACTTTGTCGGTTGACACGCTGGATGAATCTGTAATGGAAGCTTTACCGGTAGAGGACTCAACAATACTGGTGGAGACGCTCAACTCCCCGGGGGAGGAGGAGGGGGAGGAAGTTCTACAGGAGAAATATCAGGGGTTGTCAGAGCAACCACCGATTGAGGAAGATGATTATATAGGTGAATAGATCGAGCAGAGGCCGAATTCAAAGAATTTAAACTGCGTCGCTGATCCGCCAAAAATTGGTTCAAATTGAGCGCTCTCAACTCTCATGTGGAACCAACCATGTTTGAACCGCGTCTCATATTTGAGCCTCATTTCAAATTCTTTAAATTTGACCTTAGGGGTATTTTTGTTTGCACCTTTTCTCTCCTTATTGTAATTTTTTTTCAAACATGTTGTGGGAAAAAAGGTCAGGATTTTCATTCGCTAAATTAGTCATTGTCTTTCTTCAATTATCATTTTTGATTTTTTTAGACAAGAAGTCTTTTTCTATCCAGAGTTATAATGACGAGAAGTTTTATGTCGTTACGTCAGATCTAAATAATACTTAGTCACAATTCATCTCAGAATTGTTAAATTGTTAATTTTTAAATTATCGTAATAAAGAGTAAAATATTTTAATATATGTACCGGCGCCATAATCATATAGAGATGTATTTTTTACTATATTTTTGCTGAAGGAAAGTTTGAAATTTAAATATATTCTCATTTTACTATAATTTTACTCTGTCCTACTCTAATATCAGACCAAGTTCATATATTCTCTATCCTTGACTCCGTCCTACTATAATATCAGACCAGACTAATATATTCTCATTTCACTATAATTTTACTCTGTCCTTCTCCTATATCAGACCAAGTTCATATATTCTCTATCCTTGACTCCGTCCTACTATTATATCAGACCAGGCTAATATATTTTTATTTCACTATAATTTTACTCTGTCCTACTCTTATATCAGACCGGGTTAAGATATTCTCTATCCTTAACTCCGTCCTACTATTATACCAGACCGGGTTTATATATTCTCTATCCTTGACTCCGTCCTACTATTATATCAGACCAGACTAATATATTCTCATTTCACTATAATTTTACTCTGTCCTTCTCTGATATCAGACCAAGTTCATATATTCTCTATCCATGACTCCGTCCTACTATTATATCAGACCAGGCTAATATATTTTCATTTCACTATAATTTTACTCTGTCCTACTCTTATATCAGACCGGGTTAAGATATTGTCTATCCTTAACTCCGTCCTACTATTATACCAGACTTTACTCAGTCCTACTCTTATATCAGATCAGGTTCATATATTCTCTATCCTTGACTCCGTCCTTTTATACCAGACCAGGTTCACATGTTGTCTATCCTTGTTTATTTTTATTAGTTGTACTCTGCAAAACAATCCCAGAGAAAGAGTCTTAGATATACGATGGTAGAATCGCCTAAGCCCAAGATTCCAAAATTTATTTTTTTTCGGGATGAATAATTAAAAAAAAGAATTAAGACTTTTTTCCACATGAGATATACAGTTCTGCATATCATAACAAGGTAAAATAAAAAGAATTAAATTAATCCCGAAAAATGTGAACAAGGAATTAAATAAATCCCGAAAAAGGTGTTTATGTTCAGTTGAGTAAATCTGTTCCCACTAGTCCCCGAAGGTTTGCGAACCAAGGAGTTGTTTATCTCTCAGAAATCCAATCTGCCGAAGATCTCAGAGAACTTAGTGCTAAACAGGCAAAAGGGATTCTAGCGATGAACAGGTTGGTAGACAGCTTTCACGAATATATATTTCCTTGAAAAATCAAAAAAGTAGAAAAAACATGTATTTTTATTTCCAATTTTTCATTTTTCCCCGAGAGCATCGAAAATCATTTACAACCTAGTTGCTCCCTGTTCTTAAATTTAAGATTTGGCGTCAATAAAGCAATTCCTTTTTTAAGTTCTTAATTTTCGAGTGGAAAAGTTCTTAAATTTAAATGTTCTTTAAAAAAAGTTCACCTTAAACATTTTTATTTCGACATAAGTCCTGTAAAACCTTTAAAAATATGATGAAGAAAATTCTATAGTTCCTCTTTTATTATTTTATTGAAAGTTCTGATTTCATTCCTCGTACCTCCTTCTGTATATGTTACTTTTTACATTTTAGTATATCAGGTTCAGAAGATGGATACGAATTCAATTAATGAATGATAAAAGTGGAGTTTTTGAGACATTTTTTCAAGAAGACCCCTGCCAGAAAGAGGAATGTGTAATTATTATATTATATTTCAGAAAAAGTGAAATTTACTTATGAAGATTGATTTTCAGTCAAGATTAATTTAGCAAAAATAAAAACGAATTCCATTTTGTATGTCAACTTATTTTTTAAAAAGATAAAATATTTTGTTACGTTATAACTTAACGTTTAAACTTTCTGTACTTTACAATACATGTTTTACGTTTAGATCAGGACAGTGTGAAGTACAATATTATGTTGAACATTTTTGTATTTTTAAGTAGTTGCTTTAATGATATTTTAAAACATATTTAAGATTCATATATTCACTATAGATGTTCTATTTTTTGTATGCGGGTTTCATTATGGTTCAGGTTTCTGAAAATCACCCCAATGAAAGAGAATTTTTGAGGTGTCAAAGTTAGATGACGTAACAAAAGCAATTGCGATTTTCCTCGGGTTAGAAGAAGAAGAGTATCGAAGTATTCGATAATTGGCTACAACAAACACAACAAGCCGAAAACAAACGCTTAATCTTAAGCAAAAAACTTATCAAAATGACGATAAAAAAATTAAATTTTTTTCATATTTTCCAATTTTTGTGGGAGTTCAAAAAAAATTGTTCTTAAAAATAAAATTATAAATTTTTTTTTCGCGATTTCAAAATCTTAATTTTAGAATCTTTCTTAATTTTATTCCTAACTTTTGGCAAAATTTGTTAGAAAAATCTTAACTTCAAAAACAGCGTTCTTAATTTTTTTGAAGGGCAGTGGGCAATGTGCATCGTGCTGGCTTCAGTTTTAAAAATTAATTTCATAACAGAACGCTATTTTTTTTTAATGCAGACAGACAAACACTCAAACAGAGATTTCAGATTATTGTGAGTAACATAAGGCCAGAGGGGATGAATTTGTATTTTTATTGAGATAACACTATTTATTTAGTTTTCCTTGTCTAGGGTAAACTTCAAGGGCTGTGTAGAGAAGGAGGAACTGTTGAAGATTGTTGAAAGGTTGTGGAGGCAAGAGGTCAGGAACAAGGAGCATTTAGAGGATATGGAGGATGATTCTATCTGTAAAATTTGCATGGATGCCCCGGTAAATTTGTTTTATCTACAACTGTACTATAAACTATATCTCAAAACTTTTTTAGCCGGATTAGTAATTATGAAACCAAAACTAGGAAGCTGAAGAGTCTCAAATCATTTTCTAGTATAATCCTAAGTAGTGGGTTGTCCATATTCCCAGAAATGTCCAACTCCGATGCGTCTAATCTGTGAACTGCAGTAGAAAAAGATCAATAAAATAGAACACAGAGATTGCAGATTTTATACAAGGTCCGGGAGTGGAAATATTTAGTAAATATTGTTAGAGGAGTTTTAATGATTGCATATAAATTTAGATTCTCTTACCTTTTTCAATAAAATATTTCTAAAAATAGGATTTGATCAACATTATCAATCAAAATAAAAAATATTTCGAAGTTGTCCTAGACTGAACATTGATTTCTTGGTTGTCTAGATTGAACATTGGTTTTATGGTTGTCTAGACTTAACATTGATTTCTTGGTTGTCAAGACTTAACATTGATTTCTTGGTTGTCTAGATTGAACATTGATTTCTTGGTTGTCTAGATTGAACATTGATTTCTTGGTTGTCTAGATTGAACATTGATTTCTTGGTTGTCTAGATTGAACATTGATATCTTGGTTGTCTAGATTGACTGCGTGATGCTAGAGTGTGGGCACATGTGCACCTGCACTAACTGTGGAAAACAGATGGCAGAGTGCCCAATATGTCGACAATATGTTGTCAGGTAAGTCGATAATATGTTGGCAGGTTAGTCGACAATATGATGTCACGTGAATCGAAATTTGTTGTCAGACAAGTCAACAATATATTGATAGGCTAGTCGACAATATGTTTACAAGTTAAGTGACAACATATTGCCAGGTTGGTCGAAAATAGGTTGTCAGGGTAGTCGAAAAAAGGTTGTTAGGTTAGTCGACAATATGTTTACAGGTGAGGCCAAGGTAATAATGTAAGGAAAGTTAATTGCTGTTGCTTAGTCTCTGCGTACATAGTGAAAAAAGTTATCTCTAGGTGATAATTGTAAACAAGAATAGACGCATCAGTGTTAGTCTAGTATCCGAGCAAGATAAAAGCATTTAATTTTGATAATTTTGATAAGTCACACAATAGTTTCTATGACCAGAATATTTCATTGATTTTTTATGTGAAAGATGGATTCCATGTCAGGCTGTGACATCCGTCTTGTGTTTACATTACCGCCCAGAGACGGTACACTGCAGTACGAAAGATGCGTACACCTCTGAAATAACTATCTTTACATAATAATACTTTGGGTTAAGCGACAATATGTTTACAAGTTAAACAACAACATGTTGCGCAAGTAACACACCTGTGGTATCGGCTTCGGTCAAGAGAGTCCTCCTAGTTCAGTCCAGGCAGAGGTCGCCTGGCCGCTTCTAGGATAGGAACACGGGAAGCAAGGAGGAGAAGAGCCGCCTGGTCTAGCTCGAGCAGGAGGAGCTCGAGGACGCGCAGGACGAGCCACGGGAGAAAGAGAGAGAGAGTACGAGGATCCAGGGGAACCAGGATCCAGATGATAATACGATAGTAACACAGGAAGGCCTTAGGATCTTCTTCTTGGCATATATCTGGAACAAGAACACCGCTAGAGATAAGACATAAAAGAGATGAAAGAACATGGACAAGACAAAGATCACAATAGTATAAAGACTAGCGGTGCCATCCTGGAGGTGAAGAGAGAGGAGGATAAAAGAACAGCGACGATGAGAACCTAGATATAGGATCTCTGAATGGGGTGGCGCTGCCCTCCAGGATTCTCTTCCCTTTAACTCGGTATTTTAAGGAGAGGTTGGCATGTCTTTTTGTAGATATACTATTAGATGAGAAGTGATCTTTCTGTGAAGGAATATAGTCTAGTGTCAATTAGATCAGACTCTGAGACTGAGCGTTTCCTTCTTGTCCAAATGTCTTGGTTCATGTCTGTATCTGCCAATGCCATCGTGATGTTTGGTACACTTTCGGCAAAGAGGTGTGTTTGAAAGATGTCGTCTTCATCAGAACCATATATGTCAGCCTGCCAGAGTTGTGATATTGATTGAGCTTTTGGCAGCAGTGTAGGAGGATAGGGATCTGGAGTAATAGAAGAGGAGCGTGACACATCTGTTAATTGAACTCCATCAGTTTGTGGTATGTTGAACATTTCATCAATCTTTCGCCTGGCGGATGTCTTTGATTTCCGGGGAGATAGTTGTTTATGTAATTCTTGCTGTGAAAAGTGAGATTGCATCTTTGTGTTCACTCTTTCAGGGAAAGGAGTTGAGCTTGTTAAGGATAGTTTGGCTTGAGCTCTGGCCATGGATTCAAGTTTCTGATAATGGAATGTTGCAGATATTTAGTTTTTTAATTAAATGATTATATGGAACTCTTTAAAACTGTTCCCGCATATTCATGGCTATTTATTTATTTTCGCAAATACTGAAATTTACGTAATATAGTATAAAACTCATTGATATATTGTCAAGACGACATTTTATAAATTTTTCCGATGTATTCGTTATAAAGGGTTTCACTGTAGGTTATCAGGTTAGTCGATAATATGTTGCCAGATTACTCGACAATATGTTGTCGACAACATAATATTTTATTAATTACTCCTTTTTGTAATATTCCAGGGTTGTCCGGACTTTCAAGGCATAAGAAGAACATTAGCAAGACAAGATTTATTTCTGTCACAAGAATTTGTAAATTTAGTCTCAACCAGTGGTCGGAATTAATTCAAGAATATGCAAAACTATTTTGAAAATTTATCTTTACGTTCGCCACTTGTAAGGTGTACACTTGAAAAGTTGTAATTGCTTAGTAAACTTTATTTTTTTTCTCTTTTTAACTTGCTGAGTCACGCAACTTCTTTTGAGCTTAAAACATTTATGTTATATGAGTTAAAATCTCATCAGATCGTTATTCGTTAAAGGTATGGTTTCATAATTTAGGAGACCCTTTACAGTTCACCTTTTTATTATTATTTTTCACTACAAACTGTTTTCCAAGAAACGGCGGCGGAGAGGAATTTTTTTCTTTGAAATTTAACAACAACTGTGAAGGATTTTAAAAAGACCAAGATCCAAGATGTGTCCTATTTCTGAAAAAAATATATCTCTGTTATTAAATTGCCTAATTTAAGTTTAAATGTCACTTTTTTGAAACTTTTCTATCCCTTTTAAAATGCCGGTCACTTAAAGTTGTGTAACCATTCCTTTTTAAGTTTACTCATTCCTGAAACCAAGGTTTCAATCAAATCACTTTGCATTTCACCCTTTAGCTCTCTTTCCAGTTGCCGACCATGTGATACAAACCTATTTCAAAGTTGTACAATATAAATATTAAAGTTGGTATATAATATATGATATATAAATAAATTATACAGTGAAATCTCTTGTCTTCTTATTTTCAGGAATCAGCTGTTAAAGTTGATTTGTTTTAGTTTTAATTAGAGCTGATATTGTTTATCAGTATCGACTTACTAAGTATAAAAAAGGTGTACTTAGATTGTTGAAGTAGATCATACCGGAGAAAGGATAGAGCATAGAATGCTGATGGACAGTTTGTACAGGGGAATTGTACAGACTCCTTAACATTGAACATAAAGGTTAACATGTACATTTAAAGTAGAGGGGTATTTTTGTAGACGTCATTTTAAGCATAAATGAAAATGCAGAAACCAATTAATGTACATTAGTCAATTCGTTTTTCTAACTCCTCGTGCAAAGTTCAAATATTCAAAACATATTTAGCAATATGAAAAACATGACGCAAAACATTCAAAATGTCTCTTTTGACATAAAAAGGGGTTCGAGAATACTGAGAATTATAAGCGCAGCCAAGCGCGCGAGTATTCCTTCCATTTTATCCTACAAGAGGGGTGGGGCACATGGGGGCGTGGTCCACCCCCCCCCCCCCGGTTCGGCCATAACTTGTATGCTAAAAATGTTAAGGATGTATTTTGAATTTGTTAACCTTATTTTGATTTTTTGACATAGCATAAGTTTGAAGAATTTAAATTGTAATTTTTGGACTAAAAAAGCATGGTTCCCAGCAAGATATGTCACTATCTCTGTTAAAGTTAAACACTTTTGAATTGACGAAATAAAGTTTTTGAATTTTCAAAAAATCCATTATATACAAAAGTTTTTTGTCCCAAAATATTTTTTGTGCTCCAAATTGAGAATTTTCCTCAGAAAAACTGTTATTTTTTCTTACGAGCAATTTCTATTTATATGCATGATAAAAATTTAACATTCAATATGCTTCTGTTTATGTGACAAGTGAATTAACTTAGAATGAAAGGCCAAAAACGGAAAATTATATCGTAAAAACAGTAAAAATAGCCATGTTTTTATTTCTTTTTTTACTTAAAGCTTATTTCATAACTAACCGGAGAGTACTACTATAAGAGACAGTTAAATTAAATGGTATGTAAACCAATATCTAAAATCTTCTTACATTATCCAACTCGAAAGAAACAAATTCTAAATCTGACGAAGCTGTAAGAATAGTTTTATAAAGAATGTACAACATGGTGGGCTTAACCATTTATTAATGAAAAAAAGAACAATATTTTAATTAGGTTTCTTATTATTATAAAGTACTCCATAACTCTATCTTTTTCTTTTCTCAAAGATTTCTTGAAATAAAACTTCATGATTTCCCTGATTTCCTTCACTTGTGAACGTCATGCAGTACATAAATTTCCTGACAGACCCGGCATTATGAAACCTTAACAAGATTATGTTTAAGCTTAAGATCACGTGAATTTAATGGTTCTGTCAATATTCCAGAAAGCTATAACTTTCGATCACAATTACTCCTATTAAACCACCTCCAACCTGACGCAGCTAGGTCTGCTCCAGAGTGGAGTTTGAAATGGACGAGAATTAAATCCAGGATGGAGTAGATCCAAAACCTTCTCCAGATACTCTAGAAATAGATCTAAAACCAACTACGGTTACTCCAGGAGTAGAGCTCAACCTTGCAGCTGACCAACCTGACCCTGAGTCTAGGTTAGGATCAGTAGTAGAAGAGAACCCAATAAACCGTCCAACTCCAGACGAAACTGCAGGAGCAGAGAAGATGGAAGAGAAAGAAAAATCAAAATCCCACACCGGCAGATATATCAGGTTAGAAATTAAACATTGTTTTAATTTCGGTGCTTCTCCATTAAAAAATTATTTTGCCCGATTTGTCCTTAAAACCTTAGCTTGAGTAAAATTAAGGGTGATATCGTTGGTTTTCTATCGGAAAAATTTATCATTTTTAATATTGGGTGGTTTAAAAAAGCGACTTGTTGATGACTAAAAAAGAAATTGAGAGACTTAATATAAAATAGAAAAACGAAGATATCTTCCTTTTGTGATATAATCCAAGTAAGCTCTGAAAGATACCGCTATGAATCGGATTTTTCAATTTTTTTTACAGAAACTCACTTGAAACTACCTCTATAGTCCCTTCAAGTTACTTTTGAAATATTCCTTAGGACTGAATGTATTTTAAGCGTGAAACCATCTATTTAAGATCTCTTGAAAATCCAGCATAGATTCACACAAATTTATTAAAAATATTTTAAGGTTACAATTACGATGTTCTGAATGATCACAGCATAGATCCATTCAGAACCAGACACAAAGTAATGTGTTCTATCTCGGACCTGGAGACAACTCCGGTACCTAAAGAATCCAGTACTGGAACCTGGTTCTACTCAACCAAACAAATATAAAATAAAATAATAAATATATCATATAATAATTGGGTCGAAAATTAGCAAAAAGAATTTTTGCTCCAGATAAAAACCGAAGACGACATAATACATATCGGAGAATGTTGTTTACTGTCCGACCCTGCTGATTAAATCATCACAGACCTTGGTTAGTTCATCATTATCTAAAATAGATTAAATATTAAAATGTCAAGTTTAAAATAATAATATAAACTACAAATAAGTAGTAATCTCTGTTGGTCCGATCAAAACCCATGAACCCCTGGACCAATAACAACTGATTACACCCCTCTACTTAGTTTTTTCCTCATTGATATTAATCACATACCCCTCTCTCCTTAACTCTATTCTCCATGATATTTGAAACAAATATTGAGGCACTTAATCCTTGTCTCAAAATCTGAGAAAATTATGAGTATAATTGGAGAGCAATCATTTATTAAGAGACTTTAAAAATAATAAAATTGAAAAAAAAAATTGGTTTTTAATGTGATAATATTTTACATCTAGCCAATTTAAAAGTAGGTATATGTATAATGAAGAAACTTCAAACAATGTTTCGACTTGGAATTTAGAAGTAAGGAGGAACCATGATCCAAACATCTGATCAGTCACTTCAGTCATTAGTCTATCACCTTTTCATAACCAAAACCCCATTTGTTGAACGTTAGACCAATCGGAACTTTTAGTTGGATTTTAAAAAAAGACCAACAATTTTGATTTTTAAACTCTTTTATCGCAAAAATGAGGTCTCAAATCCTCAAATCGAAAAAATTCAAATCTTAGACCCCTCCTAATAATAGGACAAAAAAAGACAGCTTTAAAATGGGGATTATGTCATGAAAAGGTAGTGACGAGTTTATTTTTGGATTTGCACACCTAGACTTAGTTAAAACACTAGTCTTGAGGATTCCAAAATGCTATGTCCCGAATCCTGATTATTTCTATGAAGTAAATTATATCTAGTGAGGATCCTATGCTTTGGGTTCTCACCTGAAAGAATATTAAGATGTGATTCCATGTTCCTAGTACTGGATACAACAGGTTCCAGGGACTCATCGTTCAGATCACCCAGCATACACAACTAAAATATTTTTTTTTAAAGGTTTAATTTTAAACATTGAAAGTTTTCGTGGTTTTTAATTGGACTACTGAGCATTGAGTAAAGCCACAATTTCAAATAACCCTCCATTTGCAGAGTGGTATGTCCGATTTACAACCTTAGTCACAACAAAATGATATCTTAATAATTTTCTAGCTGAAAATTGATTATTTTCGATTGTAGTTTTTTTTTGTATTAATCAGAGCGAGATATAAAGGGTGCCATAGTANACTAAGTCTCTCAATTTCTTTTTTAGTCATCAACAAGTCACTTTTTTAAACCACCCAATATTAAAAAATGATAAATTTTTCCGATAGAAAACCAACGATATCACCCTTAATTTTACTCAAGCTAAGGTTTTAAGGACAAATCGGGCAAAATAATTTTTTAATGGAGAAGCACCGAAATTAAAACAATGTTAAATTTCTAACCTGATTTAGCTGCCGGTGTGGGATTTTGATTTTTCTTTCTCTTTCATCTTCTCAGTAAGGTTGCTTTTATTTACATCGTCCACAACATTCGTCTTGGTGACAAATGGATTGAAGTTAGGATCGTCCATGTTGTCTAAGAAATCAAGGTTGTATCCTTTAGCAGGGGCTGGGATGGGATTCTCTCAAGATTCTGTGGGTTCTGCTGCTGGTTTTGCGACAGGTTTCTCCTTCTTTAACCAGGGTTTAGGGACTTCTTTATTCTTTTCAGCAGGTTTAGCAATTTCTTCAGACTTGCCAGACTCGGGAGTCAGAGAATTATTTGATTTTAAATCTACGTTGGTGACATCAGTCTCATTAGACTCTTTGGGTTCTGTTGTAGCGTCGAATGAGCCCCCGACTGCAGTTTTAGTTTCGAACGGATTAAGTTAGTATCATCAAGCTGACTTAGAAAATCAAGGTTATATCCTTTAGAGGGAGGAGGAGGAGGAGAACTTGAACCTTCTCCATCCTTAGTTGGTTCATCGACTCCGGAGGTTTCAGGGGCTGGAGCAGGTTTTGCAGATTTCTTTAAAAGTGGTTTTGGTCTGAAACGGATTAAAGTTGGGATCATCCAAATTGTCCAGGAAATCCAGATTGTAGCCTTTCTTTAGCAGGGGGAACAGGGATATCATCCTCCTACAAGAATATACTGTTAAATCTTTTTAATTTCACAATTCAAATGTAAAATGTTAAACAAATTAGAATTTACCTCCGTTTTCTTCATTCTGGGATTAATCTCTGCAGAATTCTTACACGGATAATTCTATGTTAGAAACTGCTTCGGTCTCCTTGGTTGTATCTGTAACCTTGACGTTAACTGTATCTATATCTTGACGTTAACTGTATCTGTATCCTTAACTGTATCTGTATCGATGTGTGTATCCAGGTTAAGATGGACTGTGTTGTACACTACTGTAGGCTGCTGCTGCAGACAGCTTGGCTTCTCAAACTCCTCAAACCCCCCCTGCAGAATAAAAAGAAAGAAAGAATGGCGAAAATCAGTATCACAGGAACAAGAAAACCAATAAGAGTTATTCTCAGTAAACCAGATCACATCGACTAAGCGTCGATTCCACGTTGCCTTTGCAACCTTGACGTGGATATATCGTCGTATATTATCATGTTTAACCTCTTATCGACGTGGGATCGCACTATTTGTGGCGCTGTTACAACGTCGCATTAGAAACGTTGTATCGACGTCGTCCCCAACATTGTCATGACGTCATTTTTGAAATTTTCCGACCTTTAAATTTTTAACCTTGAAATGACGTTGAATCGACATGTCAGCCACGTGGATAACCTTTGAGCGACTAAATTTCAACCATGTATCAACATCAGGGCAACCTTATTCTAACCATAAATCGACCTCTAATAAACTATTGATTAACCCTAAAAATGTACACTGTTTATTTTTATTTGTACTTGCCGTGTCAAAATACAGAGATACAGCACATATAATTCCCGATATTAGAAGTAATTTGACAGTGCAAGTACAAATTAAAATTGTCAGTGCATTAAAAGCCATAACTAAAACATTCACTTGTCAAAAATAATATATTTTGTTATAAATGAATAAGATAATGAGTAATGACAAAAAAATGAACATTAAACTAACAAATAATGCATACTTGAAATATTAAATATTAAAGATAAACTACAGTGATACCCATAAAACTGTGGAATATTAAGACGACATTTTAGCAATCATCACTGCACACTTGATGTGTTTCTTGTTATTTGGACTTTCTAAATTGAGTCTAAAAGTTGTCTGTCTTCCTATTCCACTGTTTTGTGGTTTTCACTAACATTTTTATAAAATATTGATGAAATCATATGTATCACTGATTCCACAGATAGGATAAAAGATGTACTCCTTTGTTTAAACCTTTTACATATTGCTTGATGCACAAAACAAGAGTTTAAATGAGCATGTAATATGTATCAAGATAAAAAACATATTCAAAAATTTCTGACCTTTAAGTCAATAATACCTTTTGTCTTATCTGTGTCATTTGTACAACAAATTTTAAAAAGAAAATTGATAAATATAAAAAAAAAATAATGATAATAACGTTTTGGAATTAATTTTAAATTAAAATAAATTAAATTTATAAAAGGATTAAAAATACAATTCACTACAGGGAAAACCAGATAATCATTGGACTAGGAAGACGACATTAAAACAATATTTAAGTGTATTCGATGTTTTTACATTATAAATGGTATTACTTTCAGTAGTCTAAAATTAACATTGTTGTGCTTCTTGTTCATTGAACTATTTAAAATCATAACTTGAGTCAAAAAGTCGTCTTCCTATTTCACAGATTTCTGGTTCTCACTGTAAAAATGCAGGGAAACATGTGTCATGTATGTATGTATTGAGCCATGATAATAAAACAAATGAAGCCACTGTATATGCCCATGAATTTGCTATGGCTTTAAATTTGCCCCAAAAAAAATAGAAAAATTATCTAAATTTTGCAGGATTTCTTTTTTTATAAAACTGAGATGTGCAATGTTTGTCACACTTGTGAATCCTCTTATTACGTAGCAAAGTTTTAGTTTTGGACAGTTTCAGGCATAAGGTAGAATTCATCTTCTTCAAATGAATAAAGTAGGATCAGAAGTTGAAACTTTGTAGAATCTTTTAACACTTGATGGATCACAATATGATAATATCCAATTTGGGCACTTCTAAATTTGAGGATAAATTTATCCCTGCAGGGTATGAACACCGCGGGATATCGAAGATGAATTGAATTCATCTGTAGGACTGCATTTGATGGAGCTTAAGGCTTAATCCTGACTTCTTAATCTTGACTTCAGGATGAAGAAAATATCCAGGTTTTCTAAAACAAAAATCTAATAATATAACTTATAAATGTAAAAAATCTTTAAGCTTTATTTATGAAAATCCGCGAATTATTTTTGTTTTGTTTTACGATGTACACAAAGAGAACATGTTCACAATTAATTTAGAAGATGGGCGCGAAGCGCCCTCTAAGGCTAGTTGCTTTATACTTGTACTGTTAAAATAATCATCAATTTGTAATTGTAAACTCGTTCTGTACACAGATACATGTATTTTAGCAATAAACTTTATCTATCTATCGATATCTATTTTCAATTGTGGTTTTTCTACATCAGTTAAAGGTTGAAAGGGTTGTAAACCATTTATAATGTGGAAATACCCTAGATTTGAAATTTGATGGTTTGATTAAAAAATGTGAATCTATGATAACGGTTTCTGATTTATGATCTGCGAATCTATTTCTGCTTCACAATTGTAGAAATTTTATTATACTAGTTAGTTTTAAAAAATATATTTTTATCTTTCTCAATTCTCAAGGCTAAAGGCTATTGTAAACATTTAATGTAAAAAAAGTTCTGAACTGTATTTTATAATTGTGTTAAGTTTATAGAGTACTCGTAGATATCTGCAAACTTTAAATTCTTAATTGGTATATTCCAAGTTTAAAATATGTTTGCACCACTCGGTGCAAAGATTTAGGGTTTATAATATTTGAGTTTGTGGCAAAAAATCCGTTCAAAGATCATCACGAACCTCGAATATTTTAATTAACAGGATCAGGAATTGCAGACCATAAAAAGGTTACAAGAAACAGGAACTTTTGAGAGACCGGATTAGGCTTTTAACTCATTCGCTCAATTGACAGAAAGATAAACCAATCATCAAATCAGAAACAGATCGCCAACGGTATTTATTGTTAGAATTCAGAGGTGTATTCAGGAATGTGTCCAGGGGGAGGGCTTATATTTTTTTTCCAGGGGGGGGCTCAGCACCCGTTGGGGCAGCTGAAAATCCCCTAAAATCAATAGATTTCACTGGTCCAGGGGGGGCTTAGCCCCCAGAGCCCCCCCCCCTGAATACGCCCCTGGTTAGAATTCCTTTAAACCATTCTTAATCTAACACACTAATCAGCTAATTTCCCATTTCATTCTTTTTAATCATGGCGCTCATGGTGAAAATCTGCAATTCTTTTCATTCATTTGCAAGATTGCATCTTAAGCCCTTCGTGCTTCTGTTTGTGGGAGGTGGGGGGGGGGGGGGAAACGGGATGACATGGGATAATTTTATTTTTAGATTTGGGGATTAGAATCCTGTATTTCGATTAAATGATGGAATTTGGGAAAGTTTGGAATATTATAAACCGCTAGACTCTTAATTCTAATACTTTTAATAAGATTATAGACCGCAAACCGCAGGACCCTGTAGTCAAGAAATGGATAACACAGCATGACGCGGCAACGCGCCATACCCCTCGTCATTCTGCGTTAAAAATGTCGCATTGAATTCATCAAACACAGCGTTTTTAATACTACGTTTTCAAGACTGAACAGTTAACGTTGAAAGTAATAAACAAGAATGTCTCAATCAATATTTTCAGTCCCTAATTGCTACAACATAACAAAGTACATATGTGTGTATTTCTTTGTTAATTTAAACTTACTGACTTTTAACTAATTTTCTTAAAGATTTTACATTAGAATGAAATTAAAAATATGAAACGATATCTTATTATTTTATTTAGGAATAATGTTTTTTTTTTCTATTCACGATGTTTTCATGCGGATACTTGAGCATGTCATCATCCCATATTAAACTGTCTAGAACGATTTTTGGACCCTTACAACGCCCCTGTCTTCTCATGGAGGATTTGTCTGGTCGAAATTGAAAAGTTGTGCCAAGTTAAATCCGCGAAATTACGAGGGATAAATGACGGCTTAAGAAGTTACTTTTAAACGCTAAAACTGGTACATCTGTTTTGTTGCAGGTATAATGACTACCGACAAAATGGACACTTCAGCAGACTCTACTTTCGGGGGATGTGAGGGTCCTGATGCCATGTAAGATTTGTATTTTTTATATGTTACATTCTTAACTTAATGTTATTTATTTATTATTTTTTTTTGACAATTGTACAACGTGTTATTTAATGCTGTTATGGGAGTTCCTACAAATGTTTTGGTTTCCAAGAATCAAATTATTACATCAACGTGGAAAACATTAACATAAGTACAAACTTATTAGACCAACTGCACTTCTTATAAAGTGCAAACTTCCGTTTATACACTATTCCAGTTTTGGTTAGGTTAAGATATACAGTCGAAGGAGGTTGCTCTGTTTCTGAAGGAGAAGTTGAGGCTCAGGCCAACATTTAATAAGAAACTTTTGATATCTAGGTATGTGAAACTAATCAGCAGTGATGGTCATGAGTTTATTGTTAAGAGAGACAATGCTCTTACATCTGGAACTATTAAGGTTAGCAGAGATTATTTAATTTCTGGGAATGTGATGGTTTTTCAGGATAATAGATAAATTTTCGTCACTAAGAATCAATTTAGTTTTATAAGTTACCCTTTGGCGTCAAATTTTTATTTTTGTCTCTAGAGCAGAGCTTCGTGAAATNCCAATGTATTTACACCTTGCTAAAAATTAAAGACAAGAGGTCAAAACCATATTAATTTTGTTCTGCAGTACCTATATTCTAAATATTTTTAATACTTAATTAATTTGATTATGTCGTATACAGACAGATACTATTCCTTATAGAATTTGTAAGAATTAAATTGGTTTAATTTAGTATGACCTGTTGGTAAAATAGTGTTATTTTGGTTTGGGCAGTGCTTGGGATTTTTATAATCTCCCTTTTTTCAAAGTTCAGATTTGGGTTTTAGGGGTAAAAAGTTTATTTCGCAGTTTTTGATGGATCTGCATATTTTTGCTGATCCGGTTCCGGATCCAGGAAGCCAAAATCTTGCGGATCCAACGGATCCGCATCCTAAGCACTGGGTTTGGGGAAACAAATAAAAAAGTTTATTTTTACTAGCATCGCGTTTACAAGTCGTTGAGTAAAAATGAAATTGGGATAATGAAAGACTGTTCAGTTTGTGAGATGAAGAGAATTGTATTATTTTTTATGTTCCTTATATTTCCTAGGCTATGCTTTCTGGTCCCGGTCAATTCGCAGAAAATGAGACAAACGAGGTAAAAATTAAAAATGAAGAAAGAAGAATTTCATAATTTTAAGCAAACTACGATATTTTGTTTCTATTAATATTTTTTTAACAATTTTCCTCAATATTCAAACTCTTCAAAAGAACTGTTGTTGTAAAATCGAGTGACCTTTTTTTCAAAAAGGGGGCATTACCGATTCACAAGAAGTTCCATTATCCGATCAATTATGTTTCAGATATTTTCGCTTTTCTTGTCAGAAAATGTCCCAGAATAGCCAATTTTTTAGATAGAAATCATGGATATCTCATTCAATCTTTATCCGACAAAATTGTAAATGTTGTACCGGTGTGACTCGAACATTTAACTCTTCTTTAAATGGACCGTTCACTTATTTTCGTAATTTCATGGTAAACTAATTAGTCTATCAGGTATTCTTTAGTATTAGTCTTACTTTTCAAAGATATCGATGACCGGAGAAAAAAGTCGATTTATCTTTTAGAATTCCAGTGCAAAGGTATGATACCCTTCTGAATTCTGAATGATAAATTGGCTTTTTTCAGGCCACAGTCGTCATTGAAAAGTAAGACGAACACCAATGAATTGCTAATAGGTTATTTAGTTTACCATGAAATCACCAAAATAAGTGAACGGTCCCTTTAAATGGAAGGCACTTGTAATTACGTCTTCAGTTTACTGTGGAGTTGATTTGATTGCGGATTTTGATTTGTTGAATTTTTGCTGAAAAACTAAAAAAAATAGTTTTGCAAAATTAATTTTAGAGACTCATTAAACCGTCGTCGGCCAATCTAATATTGATTTCAATTTGACTGAACCCTGGCTTATTTATTATATTTTCAGGTTAACTTCAGAGAGATTCCTTCCCATGTACTGCAGAAGGTCTGCATGTACTTTACGTACAAGGTAAAACTAAAGACTTTTTTCGTACATTATAAAACTTTTTGATCCTGGCTGAAAAAACGGGGGTATATATATATTTTCTTGAAAGACCATATTTTTGATGAACTTGGTAATTAATTATTTTTGCCGTCAATATCCAATTTTTCATTTTCCCCGAAGATGTATAGTATATACCACTCCTGATACTTATATTGTGTATAGGTGAGATATACCAACAGTTCTACTGAAATCCCGGAGTTCTCTATTCCTCCTGAGATTGCCCTTGAACTACTGATGGCTGCAAACTTCTTGGATTGTTGAGATCATCAATAGAGAAGCAGAAACCAAACTGTTCAATTCTTCTCAGCAGATTTATTTATTCCTTTTCTTTAGAAATGGCAGATTTGGCAAGTTGGAGCTTTTTTTCTGTTCATTGTAGCACATTTTTTCCCACTTATCAATTCTGCTTGAAAAAAGAACAGTTAGAACTCAACTTTCCAAGTTTGAAACTTTCTTAGTATTTTGCGAGTGATTTAGTTTCAATCATGTAGACACAGTTGCGTGATTTGACCTGGTGGTTAAAAACTTGCATTATTTTTCAGTATTGAATCCTCATTCTTCATATCTTTTGTAAGTTAAATTTCTTAAAACTTCCTTTTAATTCTTGTTTCAGAGGAGGGGGGGGGGGGGGTTGATACAAAATACGCACCTGTGTTTGATTTGAGAAACCAGTCAATTTTAAGTTTTTTTTTTCATTCAGCCATTAGCCAGTATTGTAAAATGTCCTAGGTTCACTATTCAGAAACAATTAATAACTGTTTTGTCTGTGCAGTACCAGTATAATGATGATTGTACAATTTACATGTATTTTTCAAGCGATATTTAACTGAAGATAAGTTTTTTTTTGCATTCTAAACTAAAAGTAATTCAGTTGTGTAAAGAATCTGACACATTTTTGGAGTTATTATTGCCTGTCAAGATTCTCTATTTTCACATAAATGAGCAAATTTATCCCAAGGGATGATTTTTTCAGAATAATGGGACACGTAGAACCACCTCCACCCTACCATGATGGGAGTGGACGATCCATCCGTGATGTCCAGGGCATGTTTGGAGACACCAGGAAGCGTGTTGCTCCAGGTCTTTTTACTGATATAGATCGAGAGTACAGAGCTAAGTTCCTGAAAGCTTCTCAGCTTTCCGCCAGAGATCAGTCCTATCATCTCTTCCATATGTGGGACAACCCAGAGTTCAGGAAGGTAATGCTCAATCCTCTCCGACGACTGTGGAACGTCCCCGGAGAAGCGTTTGAAAAAGCTCTCCGTCCTGCCATGGGTCTTAAGAATGCGTTTGTTACCAGATGGTTAGGTGGAAGGATGTTGTTTGGTCTGGTTGCGACCTGGTATTTGTCCTACTATGCTCTGTATGTAGGAGAGGACTGGAAGGTTGCTGGAGGATGGAAGGTGCTCAGAGCTAAGCCTATGACCGGACCCAATAATCCTAACTTCCCTAAACCTGATCCCAAGTATGAAAGAACTGCTCCCGGAGATTACTTCTCCCAGGATTTCAACGTTGACCCTCAGGCTGTAGGTCTTAAACCTAGTACACCAACTACTTGGTAGATCCGTACTATACATAGTCTTTCCAGCAGTTAGATCTATATCCCATGTACTTCATGTACAAAAATTCAACGTACATCTTTAATTTATTATTGGTGGTACAGATCTAACCTACTGGGTCCTAAATTATATTAGTCTGCTTAGCACTGTAATAAATATCCTTAAACTCTGAATTTATATAAAATTATGTTTCAAGAGAAAATGGAAAAAGCGAGTAAGACTGAGGTTAGTCTTGAGGATCTTGCTAGAAACCCAAGGTAAACCAAAGAATTGGCAGTATTGATGGTGAAGGGGGGGGGGAAGTGGATTAAGAAAACTTAAAAGTATTTGTATAAAAAGTTTGTTTTTACTTAGTTTTTTTTAGGTGTCCTCATGGGCCGACAGTTCTATTCAAGGACAGTGTAAAAGGTGAATTATTAATTTTATTAATTGTTAAATCAAACCATCCGTATTTCTTACAATCAATCAACGGCAACATTTTCTAATTAACTTTTTAATTTTATTATTTTAAAAATCTTTGGTCAATTTATTTATTTTATATTTCCGAGATATTTTTTAAATATTTTTATTCCAATGTTATTTTTAATGCAGACAATAAAACATGAATCAAATAGACCATCATATTTTTATTATTTGAAGATATTTTTTTTAAATTAAGTATTTTGAAAATTCAAATAAAAGTTGTTTCTCCCATCCCAAAGGTTATTACCCTGTCTATAATTTTAGTATTCTAGAATTAAACCTCGCCCTTGTCTCAATTTTATAATATTTAGGAAAGAAGCGTAAATACTACTCGTGTTCTGCGTACAGAGATAAGAAAACTTGCGGATTCCATGTTGATAAAAGTTCAAAGATTACGCCAGGAAAGCGTATGAATTGGACTGAACAAGAAAACCGATTTCTTAAACATAAAAACCACGCGGAGAGATATAAACATTTCATCGATTTTCGGTCCAGCCAAAAACAAGATGGATTCTTCTGCCAAAAATGTGAAATAATTTGTGATAAAACCGGTCATGAGGACCACACCATTACACGGTTCTCTGCCGCAGATCTCTCCACGCCGTCCAGAATATTGGAGGCAAAGGCTGAGAATAAGAAGGAGGCGCAGTTCTTCTTCTCTGAGTCAAGTCGCGATTACCTGCTCAAGGTTGTGAAGAAAACTGGAGGGACGCATGTTCTCTGTATCGGAACTCCGACACTGTATGAAGCTCTTCCTGGATCAATAAAAAAACTCTTTTTGGATATAGATACTAGATATTTAGGTTAGTTCAATATATGCAATCTTTCATACATTTTTCAGCTATCAGTTTTTGTAACATTTGAAACTTTGGCTTTTTTGCAATCTCTTTTTTTCTATTTTAGGATTATTGAGTCCTGAACAGTTCTGTTGGTTTAACATGATGAATTTTCATTTCTTCCACGGAGATGTTGCTAAAAATCGTCTTCGCTCCTTCATTCGTAGTGCTGGCTCCAACCTGACAATCTTCTTGGATCCTCCATTCGGAGGCAGGATGGAGCTGATCCACCACACCATCCAGTCCATCCAGTCAATCCTGGAGCAGGAGATGGGCCGGGGGGTTTCTAAACCTAAACTCTGCTGGATATTTCCTTATTTTATGGAGAGGAAACTGAAGGTGATTTCAAGGACGGATATACTGACGAGTAAGAAAAACACCAAATACCCTAATAAATTCTACTGGCCTATTTAAAGTCATATGTACAGTTGTTGTAACAAATGAGTTTTAATACAAAAGAATTAATTTAAAAATCAAAAATAAGCTGATCAAAATTTCATATCATTCACCGTATACTCACCGAAAAAATTTAATAGCAAGACATTCTCAGTTTTATCTTCATCCTTAGTCTTAATCCTGATCACTTATTCTTTTTCATTGAACCTTGATCTTTATTCTTTGATCCTTGATCCTCGATTTAAGTTTTGTTCCTTTCTCCCTGAATTTTGATTCTAATTCGTGGGTCCTTGATCTATGGATCAAAAGGAATAGCTTAATACAAAATTCTGTATCCCGAATTCTTGATTCTTGATTCTTGATTCTTGATTCTTGATTCTTGATTCTTGATTCTTGATTCTTGATTCTTGATTCTTGATTCTTGATCCTTGATCCTTGATCCTTGATCCTTGATCCTTGATCCTTGATTCTTGATTCCTAGAACTTTAATTCTTGATCCTTGATCCTTAATCTTAATTCCTTTATACCGCTCCTTGATACCTCAATACGATTCTAATACAGATTCGGATTGTTTTTTTTTTATCCAGATTCGAGTTTTCATCTTATATATTTTATTTTTCCAGGAGCTTGGATTGGGTCTGGAGATGTGTGAGTACAGGGTGAGCTATATCAACCACAAGGAGTATAGTGGAGGAGAGGGAGGGAGAAACCTGGGCTCTCCGGTCAGATTTTTCACCAATATTCCTCTCAGGTAGACTTTTTATATAAAACTTTGTCTGAGCAAAATGAGGTGAATAATCCTCGTTATCTTTCTAAAAATTGATAATTTCCAAATATGGGTTATACGCAAAAGTGATTTGCGGATTAAACGCTACAAAGACGTATAAAGTAATTTTCAGAATGCATCCATCATTTTTATGAACGAAAAACGATATCTTGACGATTGTTGCTATATAAGGACCTACAGGGTTCCGTTGTTGCAGCTCTTTTTATAAGATTAATTATACCAAATAATATTTTATTTAAGATCTTTATCTTATCTTATAAAATATATCTGTTAGTTCCCTGCCGCTGCCGAATGCTGATGAGTATAAACAGTGTACCGATTGTGGGTTCTATGTTAGTTCTACAAACATACATTGCAAAGAGTGCAATGCTTGCACATCCAAAGTAAGAATTTAAACTTTTTTTTAGAATTAAAAAAACTATTTTTCACCTATGCGAGTTGTAATAAAATTCATGTCATTTCCCAACGTGCTATTGTTTGTTTTCACTTTTGTGTTTTCACCATTTTGTTAATCCAATCTTTTATGTTTTAAAAATGTAAATTTTTTTTAAGGGCTGAAATTAAATCATTAAATGTTAATGACTGAAAATGAAACTTTAATTGTTAAGGACTGCAATTGAATTTTAAAATGTTGAGGATTATAATTGAATCTTTAAATTTAAAATGAATCTAGCTTTCAATGTTAAGAACTGAAATAAAATATTTTAATGCCAAGCACTGAGATTGAATCTCTTAAAAGTCAAGGACTGAAAATGAATCTCTGAATGCTAAGTATTGAAATAAAATAATTAAATGCTAAGAACTGAGGTCGAATCGCTAAACCTCAATGACTGAAATTGAATCTTAAATGTTAAGGACGGGAGACCGTACGTCCATTGTCCGGACTGTTCCCGGTGTGTGAAGGAAACCTATGTCCATTGTGCCGATTGTGTGAGGTGTCATCTCCCAGCCTTCAAATGCAAAAAGGAAAACGAACAGGCAGAGGACAATGCAGACGGTGTTACTACCATAAAACCGCAGGCGGTGGAGAAGCAAAAATCTTCCGAGCAATCAAAAAAATCCGGGAAAAGGAAATATTTCGGAAGCCGGGGACGCGGCGGGAATAATAATAAACAGAGAGGCGGTGGTGGTCGTGGTGGAAAGAGAAGAAAGTTTTAAGTTTATTTTTTTCAGAAGCATGAAAATTTCATCTAGACACATTTTGCGTTCTTTTGAACACCAGGTAAAGCTTATGAAAAAAATATTTGTTTTTGTTATCTTATTTTTTTATCTTCTTTAGGATTTGATTGTGGGAAGCAGAAGTTTATCGAGCACAGTAAATTCCACATTCCGTGCTCACAGTTGCCTTGCTCAATTTGGACACCAATATATTCTACAGCCTTCTCGACAGAAACCTTTTTCAATTTTAAAATCTTACTTTTCCTTGTCTTCCGTATCCAGAGGGTATATTCCCGAGCTGATGGAGTTCCCCCACCTTTATCTTCCTAAAATCACAAATACCTTCAGGTAGAAATGTTACAATGTTTTCAATTCAGAATAAACGATGTTAAAACTTAATTTTTCTAATCCTATTATGGGGGAAAACGGAAAATAAAATGAGACTAGAATTTTTAATCTTATATTTATCATGTTTTGAGACAGGGTAACCAACGAAGGAAGAGACTTCAGAGACAACTGTGTTTCTTACATCAATGGTTCTGTGCAATTGTAAACTTGTTTCTTTCTTTGAATAATCATCAAAGATACCATTAAAGAACAATATATTATTCAACACATTGGAGGGAGCAATTTTATCATTTCTGTCGTATGTTTTAGGTCGTCTTTAACGTTTCATACTCAGTGGGAAACGCTGTACCTGTTCAGTTTCTTTTTCATTGTGAGGGAGTAATGTTTTTAGCATCGTATAGTAACTCTGGTTCGATCGTTCTCCCTAATCTAGACAGCATATTTGAGATTTAAAGAAATACATTTTTAAAGAAAACTTTTTATCTTGTTTAAGTGCATGTTTAAAGAGAACACAAATACTTTCTAGGAACGGGTTACTGAGCAGAACTCTGATAAGACCATACTTCGACAAGGATTTCTCAGTTAAGGAGTTCGTTAAAGGTGCCAAGGAATGTCTAATCTCTACTTTCATCTTAGACCCTCTCCAAACCCCTATCGAAAAACGAAAAAAGTTTGGTTGACGTTTTGGTTTTACAAATGATCATGGTTTTTCAGTTTGAAGATAGAAGCATTATTTTATTTGATTATCCCCCCATTTACTTCGTACATCAGATTTATTGAAGTATGATGGTTTTGCTAACAACCATATTTTGATATACTTGTTCATTATATACACAGCGTTGAGTTTTCCATTTTGGGGTTCCTTATTCCCTGTAGTAATGTTCAGTGAGACTTGTAAAACTGTGAAACATAAAGACGACTATAATTATTTTGAAAAGAACAACGAACATGAAACACAACAATTGTACACATACCCACTTCACTTATTAAGTTTAATTCCAAACTACTGGTTAAACTATTTCCGTTATAGCATCATTTAATACACATAAGATGCACATAAAATGTCGTCTTTCTATTTCACAGTTCTGTTGGTCCAACTGTAGTATCCCTGGTGTAAAGATTATACACTGGCCTAGTTTGCTGCCGTTCATGTCTCCCATTGCCTGAGTTCAGGAGATCTGAGTTCTCTAGACCAGGCCTGTACGCCGGAGTGTATTAACATAGTCAAGAAAAATCTTAGGAAAGATTCCACGAAAGAAAAAAGTTCTCAATATTTTCATTTGTTAATGCAGTCATACACATCTTTCTTTACCTTGTTCTGGCTATAGGTTCTAAAAACATTTTTTTGATTCTCTAATTATATAGTTTTGTCAAAAATGAAGTTGTTTTTGTTTGTTAAATGGGGTTTAAAGAATGAATTAACAGAAATTGCCCTTTAGTTGTATTTTGATAATTCTGTTCTATTTTTAAACCTTTTGAAATTCTGTGGTACGAGCGAATAAAACGTCCCGACATTTCAAGATTTTTAAACCCCTAATGATATTTGTTAAATCTCATATTGTGTAGTTTATTCTCAATATCTGAGAGATCGGAGTTAAATCTAACGGAGGATGATATTTATTACAGTTTTCTTTACCAGGTTATTATCATTATTATTATTATTATTATAAGAATATTATTATTCTGGCCTAGATAATCCCACCCCTCAGAACCAGCCTCTGTGATACGTATATCATCCACGTCTAGGGTTTGTTCTTTTACTGAATCCTGAATGAAAACGTACCCGGGTATAAGGATTCCGGGAAACCATGATTATCTTTAACAGGAAATATATTTAAATTGGGATACTGCATGCTAGACGATTTATTTTCAGTCTAGTTTAATTAGTGGACGATGTTTATTTAGATTGGGATAATGATGGACGATTTATTTTTGTTTTAATAAAATAGGGGACGACTTTTGTTTAGATTTAGATACAGATGGACGATTTATTTTTGTTTTAATAAAATAGGAGACGACTTTTGTTTAGATTTAGATACAGATGGACGATTTATTTTAGTTTAGTAAAAAAGTTGACAATGTTTATTTAGATTGGGATAATGATGGACGATGACCCGGACGAGAATGGGGCGTATGGCCGGTCAGTTGAATGTTCCTGGGTCGGTCATGCCTTTAAGAACTATCTTCAAATAGGTCAGGTTATATAAGGTTATTTCGAATTTTTTAAATGTAGATGGGTTGGGCTAAGTTAAAAAATAAATTATCATAATATCTGTACGCTTTAATGCATATTCTTAAAAAACACATTTCTGATTTGAAATTAAATCAACTTCCCATTATTACGGAGAAATCAAAAACGGGGAAAAGACTCCTACTCAAATTAAAGAAACCAATTATTGATTTTATAATATTTAGTTGATGAAGAACGGACTCCGACTCAACTTAAACAAACTCATGTTGATCATGTAATATTTAGTTGATGAAGAACGGACTCCTACTCAAATCAAAGAAATCAATGATTGATTTTGTAATATTTAGTTGATGAAGAACGGTTGCCTACTCAAATTAAATAAATCAATGATTGATCTTGTAATATTTAGTTGATGAAGAACGGACTCCTACTCAAATCAAAGAAATTTTAGACAAGGAGAGAGGTCCAACCATTCTTAACTTTAGGTAAGAAAAAGTATTAAACATTTTTTTTATCTGTAGGATAAATCAGTTATTTAATTTATATTTTAAAAAATCAGAGGTCGGAGTTTTTTTTTATTGTTAATTCCTTCAGAAAGCAATAATCTGTTTTCTTTTCTAGTCCTATAGATTAGGTTAATATTGTTTTGGATTTCTGTTAAGGTCAATGTGATGTTGTAAAGTGTAAATCCGCAATTCTTTTGGGACTTAAACCTCCTTTTTGTTTTTTTATCGAGCTCAAAGAAATACCTACATTCCATGATTTGATTTGGTTCGAGTCCACGAAAGTACGTTTTCTGTGCATCAAGGCTAAGCATATCAAGGTGTTGCAGTTTTGGACAAAGGACATCTCATACAAAAGTTATGACCTCAAATCAGTTCAAATTAATTCAATTTCCATGTTTAGATTTGTGCGTAACTACAGTAAAGGAGTGGAGGATTCGTGGACAGTAAACGCGCTTAACTACTACAAGCTTAAAGATCTTTAACTGTACAGTGTACACATTCGGCGTATTTGGCGCATTTATGACCAGAGGAAAATGCAACATTAAAGGGACTGTAAACGTAATTTCAAGTGACCCCACCTGCAATGATTGGAATGGTCCATTCACAACGCGTACGGTACCCTTTAAATCCTTATCTGATTAAAAATGTGGAAGATACTTTTGTTCTACCAGGATTAAAGTTAGACAATTCCTTCAAGTTTTCCTGCGGTAGAAATGCGCAAGTCACTTTCGTAAATAAATCACAATTAGAAATAATTAGTTTTCAAATTATTAACATTAATACCTAATTCATAATTGACCAGAATAAGTTTTTAAGGGTTCCGTTGAAAATCGGGCATTGCCATATTTGCATCCAAGTGGTCCTTGAAATTACGCTTACAGTCCCTTAAAAGGCTCTTAATCCCAACATATGTTTATACCTGAACCTATCGTGATTGGAATTGTTTGTTTGGACAAGCTTGACACTTAAAGCTTAAAAATTAAATTATAAACATTATTTCAGAAAAATAAAATGGCTCGTGGTCAGCAGAAGATCCAGTCCCAGCAGAAAGCTGCTGAGAAGTCGGCCAAGCTGAAGAAAGCTGCCGGTCATACTGCAGCTGATCAGAAGAAGGTAGGAGTTCACCTCATAACATTTTTCTATAACAATAGTTGGTTTGCTCCCAGAAGTTATGTATGTTTGTATTATTTTAGGGTTTTATTCGGTGAATTGGAGAAGAAATGTGTTTAAGGGGAAAATTAATGAAAGCTTTAAAAAGAATGAAAAAAACTGTTGTCAAATTTTTCATTCCCCCCCCCCCTTCCTCCCGGCCAAAGTATCAAAAATCATTCTAAAAATTTACACCTTTTGCTTTTTGTTTTTGTTTGATCAAAATATATCTTGGATTTGATCAGAAACAATTAAAAAAAAACATAGTTACAGAATAAATTTTTTTTTATTACAAGGCATTTAAGTGGTAAATTATTGAGAGGAGGCCTATTGCTCCTCTTACCTTATGGCGGTCTGATGATTTCATTTATAGGTCTTTAAAATAAGGTGTCCTAAAGCTTTTCTTAAAGATTAATAATTTTTATTTTAGGCTGCCATGGCTGCCTTGAAGTCAAGTTGTGTGCTCTGCAAGGTAAATAAAACTAATTCAATGCCTAAGCTTCTCTTTAAAGATAATTATAATTTTATGACTGATCAGATTTTTTGTGGCTTTGTGCAATGTCCTCCTCAAATCAAATCCAATTTGATTTGTTACATTGTTTTATTGTTCTGGTTTCGCTTAGATACCATTTTTGGTAATAAAGAGCGATTCTTAAACTTGATATTTTTCACTATATATATATATATATATGCTCGACATTTTTCACATGATCATCGTAACTGTCTTTGAAAATGTTTAAGGTTTTAGACTCTTTAATATAGTCTGGCAAACTGTTCCATGGGTTTATCACAGAAAAAAAAAGAGTTTTTTTCTCACATTAGAATTAAATTGCTTTACATTTAAATTGAAACTGCAATTGGATTGTCTTGTCAGTCTAAAACAAGATATTTGACCAATTTGGTTTCATATCAAATTTAACAAAATAAGATAACGAATGTGGGTTTAAGGTGGTGAATATTAGATTACTTGCCCCAATAATTAATAAGAACGTATTAAAAAAAATCTATTTTTCTGTGTTTAGTCCCTGATGCCGGACCCTAAGACGTACAAACAGCATTTTGAGAACAAGCATCCTAAAAACGAACTCCCAGCTGAGCTCAAGGATATTTAATCATCAGGGATATATACATATAATCTTCAGCTAAATATTAATTAGAATTCACTTGATGTAATCAGTTGAACTCAATTTTTTTTAAATATTTATCTGATAAATAATGTTGAAGATAAAGTCTTTTTTTAGTTTAAAAATTCTTTAATGTTTTCCTGCAGTAGAAATGCGGAAGTCACTTTTGTAGAGAAACCACATTGAAATGAACAGTTCTAAATTCATATATCAATTTTATTCTTTATCAGACATTGCTTTTAAGGGTACCGTTATAAATCGGCATTGCCATCTTTGCATGGAGGGTCACTTGAAATTTTACAGTCCCTTTAAACTTAAATTCTTTATTTAAAAATCAACATTGGCAATGTCAAGTTCAATCGATGTAAACGCTATCTCACTCAAATATTCTAGTTTCTGGTCACAACTGAATTGTTAAAAATTTATTATTACCTCACTGCGAGGAAAGATTGAAATAAAACCATTTAAAAGTTGCCAGCTTTGTGTTATGTTTTATGTAAACATTAACAATCAAATTAGGAATTTTTTCTTTAGTTTTCAAAAGATTATATATTTATATATTTAGATAAAAATGCTACGATAAGCTTTGCCGCCACCGCGCTCACATCCCATATTTTTCATCTTTTTTATGTTTGTCTTAATTCTTCAACAGAAACTCAAGGCTAAATTCTTTGAACTTTTTAACACACTTCATGTCGCCATTCATTCCATTTTAACCTGGCCGATTTAATTTTCGGAGAATTTTGAGCTGAATTCTGTTCCTTGATTTATTTTTCATTGTATTTCATAATTCATTTTTGTATTACAAACTTACTTTTTTTCAATAAAGGTTAAAGGGAATTCATACTTCATAACTTTGTTATTTTATTATTTTAGGATTTAATATTAGTTTTGAATATCATCAGTATATAATCAATAAGGATGCAAATTCTTTGCGCCAGCAAGTAACATCCTTATTCTAACTTTCGCTGTAAAGAGAGTATTCACGATTTTATATAGCGTGAGTACGTCGTGAATAAGTTGGCACAGTGGAACCCGTTAAATTAATGAATTGGAAGACGACATTTAAATATTATTACGTGTTGATGTTGAGTATATCAGTCTTCCTATTTTATAGCTTTATGGATTAGAATATTTTACCAAAACCTCGAGCTGTTTAAAAAACGCAAAAAATTTATAAACTTTTTAAGGAAATATATTATCTGTCGTAAAAACTGGAGAGTTTAGCTAAAATAATTGTTTGAAACTATTCCAGACCGCAGACTGCATGTTGATGCTCTGCACCCTGAGGGCGGTCTGGGGGTTCCATGTCGGGTTCCCTATCAGATCGTATAATTATTCTTATTCTTATCACTGAACAAGTATAACATAATTACTTCTAATAGTGTCAACTTCAATATTATGTTAATAGTTCAAGTTTCTTTATACCTCTCAAATGTATGAAGGTTTTACTATTTATTTAGCTTTACAAAAAGAGGTTTTGTGTGAATTTTGTTAATCTTTATCACTTGATTTCGATAACCAATTTGGGCACTTTAAAATATTTAATCCCTCAATTAAAGTTATCACGTGATATTGCAGAGAAACTTAAACTAGTCTTAAATCTGAGCCCGCGATTTAAAAGCTTCGGCTCGAGTCGTAATTTCTTAAACCCGACTTTAAGACCCAATCTTCCACCCAACTCTAACGACAGCTTGTGTCACGTGATTGACAGCTGCAAGATCTTCGGCTCGACTTAAGGAGTTAGGCCCAATGAAAATAAAACCGACCTTGGTTGGTTTTAGTGGAGAATAAGGCCCGATGTTGCGTCTTTTTTTCATAAAAAAAACTGGGAATGCGCCAATTCCTTCCATGAAAATCTACCAAATAGAATATTAAACCGGTTTTTTGAATTCAACTCGGTGGAAAATAAGATGCAGCTTGGATCCGAAAGCTCAAGCCGTAAATAAGGTCCAACGACAGCTTGAACTCGAGCCGTATTTCCCCGAATTTTTTAAATCGCGGGCAGAGAAACTAATTTTTAAATCTGTATGAGTTGATCTCGATATTTACAACATAGAGAAGTTTCTTCTCGGGGATAATATTAGGAAAATTGAAAGTATAGAAGTTGGTTGGAAAAGAAGACATTCAAGAAAAATCCTAACAGATGAATGGAAACCAGAGAGATTCCAGAAAACCGGAAGCAGATAAATGAAAATGAAGACAAAGTACTAACAACAATTTTTTATGTTATTTTAACCTCTGTTGTATTTCCCTTTAGAGTTAAGCCGATTTTCTAACCTAATTCCTTTTTTAACATGTTGTTTTTAACTCACCAAAGTTTTACTTTCCAGATAAAATTTTTTTTTTCCTTTTTTAAATTTTAAATATCTTTATGTTGATTCCCAATAATACACGGAATATAGTCGGAATTTGCTGGCTTGCGTTTCTGCACTATTGTTTCAGATAAAAAATGAGTTCTGAGGAGGTGATTTATTGCATTTGCCGGAGCTCTGACGTTTCTAGGTTCATGATGTAAGTTTCAGATTTCATCATCTTCAATATATGCAACTTTTTAAAACAAGCGCTTTACTTTTAGAGAGTGTATTATTTTTAGTCTTGACTGAATATTCATTAGTTTAAATTAAGGAAGATACAACAAGGTTTTTTGTTAGTACTGCAGTTATTGGGATCGAGGGATTTAAGCAAAACTTTTTTTCCTTTTTTGTTTTCCTATCAGGGGTGTATATTTTTCAGAATTTCTCCCAATTGGGTAATCACTAATCATTTTTGAAGATCTGAGAGTTAAAAATGAAAAATTGGTCTTTTTTCTTACGTTTTATCAAAATTTTATTTATGTTCCCCAATCGGCGAGTAAAACCTAAAAGTATTTTAACATTCCTAACTTCTGCTGAATAAAGATTTTAAATGAGGGGGGAATGGGATCATATTAGTCACTCCTGGTTTCCTTCTTCCTTAAAATGTTAGCATTCAACTGAAAGTGGAACTAATGAGAAGGGTCAAATTGTTGTTAACTACTCAAATATGTGTTATTTACTGAAGCAAGTTCCTGTTCTGTCCTGAATCGTCACAATAGTATGTAAGTTCTATACTTATTTTCAGGAAGCAGGAAGCGGGTAGATAATTTAAGTATATGTATCCCGGTTTCATAAGTATACGTGTACTAACCTCACAAACCTGTCAACTAATCTTAGTCATAAATCGACAGTGAACCCTAAACTGTTCTAATTAATCGACCAGCTGTTATTATATAAGCGTTTGATTTTTTGTAACATGAAATATGGTATCCGTGAACGCAGCTGTTAACTGCTATTTTTATTTCATACTTTTCAGAATGTTTTTAAGTAATTAAAATTGAATGAAGTAAACTATCGTATTTTAACATTTATATAAATTAAAGCAACAAAAAAATAGATATCAAAACTTTTAGTAAAACCATTCCTACCAAGTTTAATTACAGAACCTTTTGTTCACATATTGTCCGGTTTTTCACGCTTTTAAACTTTAATTAAATTGCAGAGGATGTGATCACTGTGAGGAGTGGTATCACGGAGACTGTATAAATGTAAGTTAAAATATTGGTTCTTGTAATGGAATTGTTCACAAATTCGAAACAGACACAAAACCAATTTTGCTCAATTAGGAATACTTCAAAACAAATTTTATCGCTCAAATAACGGTCACGTTTTTGCAAAAATAATATAGGATTCATGGATTTTAAAAAAATTTTCATTTTTATTTTCTTTATTGATATATCTTAAATTTGACGGTAAACGGAAAACATTTATGTATTATGAAGTGATCTATCCCTTTGATTTCTCTTTATTATGAACATTTTGTTCATTAAAAAAGATTCTCAGATTTTTTTTTCACTTTTAACCCTGCAAAGATGATTTTATTATCATTTAAACAGAAAAAGAACATGTTTAATAATTTTTTTTCTCAAGACAAATTCAGTCTGATTCAGTCTATTATTCTCAGGTTACTGCTCAGGAGTCTAAATATATCAAGAAATTCTTCTGCAAGGTATGACAAAGTTTTTCTATTTTATTAGTATACAATTTTTTACCCAGACTTGTATTGTTTTGTAAATTGTATTGTTTTGAGAATATAATGTTAACTAATTAATTTGTTGTGAATTAGGAATGTCGGAAGAAGAATCCCAAACTTGAAGTTGTTTTTAAATCCAAATATACTGAGAAGCTGAAAGAACTAAATCAGACCACTAAGAAGGAAAGAAGAGAAGATCACAGTGAAAAGGAAAAGAAGTCGAAAGAGAAAAAGAAGAACTGGGATAAGGAAAGAGAAAGAGAGCGGAGCAAAGAAAGGCACAAACACAAAGAGAAAAAGAATAAGAAGGATAGAGATGAAAGAAAAGATGAAAAGAAACATAAACACAAAAGTAAACATGAGGATAAGGATAGGGATGAAAGGAAGGAGAAGGAGGAGAAGAAGGAGAAAAAATCTAAACCAGTTATATCTGACAGTGATGAGGATGCAGACAAAGGCAATGATAAAAACAAGGAGAAAGAAAAAGAAAAACTAGAAGAAGCAGAAAAAGAAAAAGCTAGACGGAAAGAGAAAGAACTCCAAAAGGAAAGACAGAAACTGCGCGAAGAAAAAAGGAAAGAAAAAGAGGAAGAAGAAGCAGAAAGGAAAAGAAAAGAAGCCAAAGAGAAGGAAAAGAAAGAAAAATCTCAGTCAACCGAAAACAAAGCAAAGTAAGTAAATAAAACTATATAAATAATAAAAATAAATAAATTCCTTTTGTTTCAATTCAATTTGCTATCATGTTTGTCAAGCATAATCAGGCCTGCGCAATATGTTAATATTTGTTTATTTTTGAAGATAATATCAAAATAAATAAGAAAAGTTGAATATTTAGACATGAACCAGAAAAGACGAAAAGTGCACCGTCAAAAGAGCTAGTCAGTTTATCTCAGGAAACCATTTTAGAAATAAATTAATAATTTCACATTTCTTGCTTTGAAAAGTAAAATTTCTGATTTATATGTTTTATTACAATTAATACATCAGTGGCCGAATTTTAAGAATTTGAGCGGCGGTTTAAATTTAAGCCGCGGTTTAAATATGGTTGGTTCCACTTAAAATTGTATCAAATGTTTCAAGATTTAAGCCGGCGCTAAGTTTAAACCGGGTTTTGGCGGATTTAAACCACGGCTCAAATTCTTTAAATTCCATCTCTGGGTGCTGGATGAACGGGGTTTGGTCAAAGTCTCTTAATTAACGTCCGATATATTTTTTATAACTTGAAACTTAAGTTTTACTTACATATATTTCAATGTAGTTTTGTCACCTTTATCCTCCGGCCTCCTTGAATCTACATATTGTTATAATGGTGTCCTCCGTCTAGTCCTCCAGCGAGGATGATTGGAAGCCAGCAGCTGTTCAGCCTCCTCCTAGTCTCAAGCGTAAACCTCTTAAAGAACAAGGATCAAATAAACGGCAAGTTCTTTATCTTCCATATTTTCATTAGTCTGAAAGTGGTTTCTTTTCCTTAGTTCAAAGGAGTATGTTTGTCCTTTTCCTCCACGTAATAAAATGTTTCCCTTATTTATTGGGAATTTTTGCGAGAGGTCTCTTGTTGATCTGGAGAAAGTATTTGACTTTGGGGTATTATGACATATAAAAAAGGACACAAAATCAATTCTGACAAATGTAAACCCCTGCCCAAACGGACAAAGGAATAGTTTAGCAGAAGTCTGATTTTTATTATCCATTGTAAATTCACTATTCTGTATCTTATTTGGTCTCGCAAATCTAAGTAGGTCATCTTGAATAAAGAAAAATTATGTAATATTAGTCTGACTAGTTAATTTGTACATAGGAAGCGTGCTTGGAGGCCGGATTACGGTTCCTCTGAAGATGAAGAGGTTCATGACCTTGCTCCTCGTCAATGCTATGGGATGGACTGTATAAACTGTGCCAGGGTTGGGAGCAAATACTGCTCAGATCAATGCGGACTCACTGTGGCATCTCTTAGGTAAACTATATGCCAGGGTTGGGAGCAAATACTGCTCAGAGCAATATGGACTCATTGTAGTATATCTTAGGTAACACATGTCAAGAGCACAAATTTTAATAAAAACAATTTTTATCCCACCCCTCTTGAATTTTTTTGTTCTTATACGGTATTATTTGCTGAATAGGTAAAAAATGTTAATTTGGTCAAGGAAGAGTTAATTTTTGTCGGTTGGTGTAAAATTTTAATATTTTGGCATTCAAAAAGATAATGTTTTTCTAACGTTTTTATGTTTTTTTTGAATGGTTTTTGGGGGAAATTTTTCCTGTTGATGCCCCTCCCCCCGCAATTGTAAAATGGTAAAAGTAAATATTTATTCTAGAATATACCAAACTCTTCCTGAGCGTATCCGAGAGTGGAATATGACCAGCTGTAAAGCAGAGAGTAAAAATGGGTAAACATCATTTTTTATTTTCAATTTAATACACGTCATGATATTTTTTCATAAATTTTTTTGTTAATGATAGATATATCTTCTAACTCATAATTACGGTCACTCACACTTCATAGGAATTCTATTAAAAAGTAATGTAATGATCGATTGATTGATTGAATGACAGATTAACTGATTGAGAAATTGATGGAATGCATGATCATTGATAAATTTTTGATTGACTGATTGACTGATTTATTGATTGATTGATTGATTGATTGATTGATTGATTGATTGATTGATTGATTGATTGATTGATTGATTAGTAAGGAGTTAGAGAGTATACGGCAGGAGATCCTAGTTGCTAAGCAGAGGCTGGAGGAGCTCGACAGAGACGCGGAGAAGCTGGAAACCACTATCACAAAGTACGAGCAATGATTATTTTTTTCTTCTTTTTTTCGGTCGACGTAATTTCAAGTTACCTTTTATTTGATGAGTTGCTTACCCGATTCACAACAGTACACTTGACACCTTTGTCTGAAAAACAGTTGTTTGCTGCTACTCTTGAACTTGTGGATTGATTTATCAAATATTTGATAAAAATAACAATTTTCTCATCGTTATTAATCTTTTAAAGAAACTAATTCAACATGTGACTGTCTTTTGTTGCTTAGGATAATTGCGCGATTGATTGATTGATTGACTTTAAAATTATTGATTGATTGTAGAGGTAAAAGCATGACCTTGATCGAGCACAATGCTGAGGATTCGTCAGACGAGGATGAAGAGGTTCGAGGCAGCGGAGGAGCAATCAACTGTATCAGGTACGCAGTCAGGGGGGCATATCCAGGGGGGGGGTATTTGAGCTTAGCCCCCCCTATGGATCACTGAAACCTATGGTTTCCAGAGCGGTTTGGGGCCCCCAGAAGGCACAGAGCCATCTCTGAAGAAAAAAAATGTCCCCCCCCCCCCCTCCAGGACAAATTGAAAGCTTTAGATAATTCCTGGGTATTGCAGTAGTATAGGATTCTTTCCAAAAAATCTTAATCTAAAGAAGAATCTAGCATGTAAAAACTTAATCAAAATACGCCAAGAAACTATTTAAATCCTGTACGCAATTTTTCCTTATTTGTGGCAAGGATAATAATGCGGTTTTGGTTTAGATAATTATTTTGTATACAATATGTGAATTTGAAACTTTGCAATACTAAGTTTAGATTCTTATTATTATTAATCTGATGAAATGATTATATAGATTGGAAAAACTTACTCAAAAGACATAAAGATGTAAAAAAACTACTTCGAACCTTGTTTATAATTTTAAAGGTTATGGCAAGGATTTTAACGTTATTTTGTAATTTATTGTAACTTGTTGTAATCGTAATATTTGTAATTTTGAAAATGTTCTCCCTTTTTCAGGAGGAAGCAATGTTTTCTCCTGTATCCACTCTTAATGTCGATTTCACTAAATCTTGCAAGAATTTTGAAAAACTTGGAAATAGTTTTATTCTTTAATATAGGAAATGTTATTGATGTAATAAAACTTATGCATTATAGATCTTAAACTTATATTTAGATCTTAAAACTTTAGAATTGGGAAAGCCTAATACCGATTGCTTAATCTGACTATCCACTGTGGAAACTTCTGATTTCTGCGTAGGCCGCTCTTTTTCCATCTTTTTGATATCCCTACTGAACTCCGACCAATGAGACTTCTATCATTAAATGCGCGCAAAATTCAAAATTTCCTGGTTCTGATTTGCAGTTCAGAATTCTACATACACCACTCTGATTGGTTGAATTTTAGACACTTTTCTGGATACAAACTAAAGTTTAAATAATCTTAAGATTAACTAAAACAGGAGAACTTAATGTTAAATGACCTTACAAAACTAATGCTAACCTTTTTGTTTCAGTTGCGGCAAAGATATCCCCGCGAGGATCGCTATTCGTCACATGGAATCCTGCTTTAACAAGATTGAGTCTCAGACATCATTTGGATCAATGTATAAAACAAAGATCGAAGGATATCAGATGTTTTGTGACTTCTTCAATCCACAAACTGGTAAAAAATAGTTAATAAACGAAGAAAACACTATTCTCTTTGATTTGTTTAAAAATGGATTATTAACCTTCCTACCTTTAAACATCCAGTTCTCACCCAGTAAGGTGGAATCATTTTTGAGGTTTTTTATCGCTGCCGGTGAAATAAATAAATTTTTGGGCATTAATTATGAAAAGAGACTGGAAATGGATCTGGGTTGATGCCTTATTTTTCAATCCTCCCACTAAAAACCTTGAACAGTTTTCCCCATGGCAAGAGAGGTGAGGGAATTCCAAAAAAATATTCCCCATTGATTAAGGTTTTAATCTTGCCAGGAACGTACTGTAAGCGTCTGCGCGTGATTTGCCCTGAGCATACCAAGGATCTTAAGATGTCGGATTCAGAGGTTTGCGGCTATCCTCTTACTAAACACGTGTTCCAGGTAAAATAGAATTTCGGGGTGTATATTTCTTGAAAAATATTTATCAACTCCCCCCCCACCCCGTCCTCCATAAAAACAATTTACAATACTTTTCCATGACGCGGAAAAAAATGTCGGGGAAAAGTATCTAACGTGGTAAAAAAAGTGTTAAGGTCGAATTAAGAGTTTTTTTTATTCAAGTTCGGAAATTTATAGAGAATTCTTGAATATCCGTATTCCATACACTATTCCTATCTTCTTGGGAACAAATAAGTATAGAGGGGATTTTTCAGGAAAATATTCAACCCTGTAATTTTTCTGGGTTCAAAAAATACAGTACTTTATTTAATAAATTCTTAATAGTTTTGGTGGATTTTGACCGATTTATAGATTGATTGATTTATTGATTGATTTATTGATTGATTTATTGATTGATTGATTGATTGATTGATTTATTGATTGATTCTTGTTAAGAGTTCGGGTGAATACTGCCGGTTATCCCGTAAAGCGTGTAACGAGCACTACTGCTGGGAGAAGCTTAAGCGCGCCGAGCTCGACATGGACAGGGTTAGACAGTGGTTAAAACTTGACGAACTTCTAGAGAAAGAGAGACAGGTTGGATTTCATGTTTTAGTTCTTCATTTTATTTTTGATTGTGATATATCTGAGAAAGTTACGAAATCCTTCATTGGGATAGCAACGTGGGTTAAGGGGGCGTTTATTAGGGAATCTAAGAACTAGAGAAGGAAGTATTATCTCCCTTCTACCTTCCACTATATTTTAGGAGAAGGAAGCAATGTCTAGAAGAGCTGGAGTATTAAACCTTCTCCTCCACTCAACCTTTAACCATGAGATGGCTAAAATTCTTCAGAAGAAGAATAGTCGGACCAATCTTCCTCAAGCTAAACCTCAGAAACGTGTTTAGAAGATCATTCGTCCTTTATCATTGATTTTTCTACTACTCTATATTCTTAATTTCAGTATTCTAAGCTTTTCATCATTGTGTCTTCTTCTTGATCAGTTTCCTCTTTCTTTTTCTTCTTTTTCCATTTTTCTCAACTTTGAACTTTGATTGATGATTTTCTTTTTAATAATTCTTTCTTCCTATCTTTATGCAATACTCTACGTATACTAGAATGTACCTGCGACGTACCTCCCCTGCTAGCTGTGATAACATGTTAAATAAACTTTCAGACCAAACAATGGACTCTAGTAAAGTGGAATCAGCATTAAAGAAATTAAATATATCCTTGGATCTCTGGAAGGTTAAAGTGCGCGCCGGTCAAATTCTACTAAAGGATATTTTGACCAACCTTTATCCTGCTGAGAAAGAGCGGGAACCTCTGCCGGCCGACGATAGTTTACAGCAGGCCTGTGAGGGGTTGACCGACGTGTTGAGAGAGCTCCAGGAGGTTGTAAATGATGTTGAGGTTGCGAGGTCACGGTTGGCTGCCCTCTCTAACCTGGTGGGAGAGGGAGAATGTATAGAATTGAAAAATAATATTGTGAATGTTAGAGAACTAAGAGACTGGGTTATTAACATGCATCTAGAATATAAAGCACAGGTAGACTCAACTCTCCTTCAATAGATAACATTCTCCAGTTTTATTGATTAATTTAAATTTGTATCTATGTTATATTTTTAGTTATTTTAATTTTTCTCGCCAAATTTTTATAGTTTTTTGTTAATCTTCCCAGATCTATCCTTTAACGAATATTACCGATTTCTTCAAAAATATGCCGAGATTGAAAAATTGGCTCATCGGCCATAATCCAATAAACCACGAAGGGGCGGGGGTTCATACTAAGATTATTCTTTTTATCCCCGCATAGTTAAAGTAAATAATATATGTAATGTATATTGTATATTTAGTTGTCTTTGAACGAGAATGTGGTCCGAAATATCTGTCATCTGTCTAATAGAGAGCAAGCTCTAGTTCACCTTGCAGTCTGGAGTACTCAGTCGGAGATACGACAACAAACTGAATTTTACTCAACCTGTATCAAACATCTTGTTTCACAACCTTTATAGCATGTGTTACTAGTCGTCTTTTTCTTACCATATATTTTTTCTGATTTAAAGGGACTGTAGTTTTATTGCAAGTAACATCTCGTTTAAAGAAGGAAATGCCTAATTCATCACAAGGGAAAATTTAAGTTTTTAAAGTAAAAATGTATTTTTGATCAGAACAGCTGTTAAAGGCACCACTATCGTTAATCGGACATGCCACTCTAAAAATTAAGAGTCAGTTTACATTAAGTTTACAATCCCTGTAAAGAAGTTTCAATTTTAAATTTGTTCAGATGGATTCTGAAACTTTGAACTTAGTTAAGGTGTTTGTCTTAGAGTTAAAACTGTTGTTTTCTACCAGAAGCTGTTGAACGTACCTGAATTTTTTTGACATTATATTTTATTTCAGATCTAAATGTTAGGTTTGAATTGTTGTCTGAAACATAGTTAAAAGATGGTTTACATATCATCCGACGGGCAGGTCATATTTTCAGTTGTATTTTGAAATATATTTGAAATTTAGTAATTTTAAAATTTACACGGAAAATAGATAAATAAAAATAAATGAAAAAATAATATTCCTAATTTATGTTCAATATAAAAGATTCAAATACGAGTTAAAGGGCGAAAATTTGGTCCTGTAGGGTCAACATTTTAAAAATAGTTTTTTTATCCTTATTCAAATGATTTTTCTCGCTTAGGTGCTTCAAGCCAAGCCTTGGGGATTGAATTCCCTAGTGGACATGTTCTGGGGATTTATCTCCTTCATGACCTTGTTCTTCAAGACCTTGGTTGACCCCAGCTTGAACAAAAAAGGGGACGGATATGCTACCGACTACAGATCGACAGGTTCGTAAAATTACAAAAATTTGACAAATATTTTGAACAAAAGTTGTCTTATATATTTTTCTTAGGAGGACGTGGGGGACCGCCTGGTGGCGGACCTCGTCGGAGATTTGGAGGATTTCATGGAGGTCAAGGAGGAGCCTCTGCTCCTCCTATGGCTGGAGGTGGAGGTGGATGAGGTTAAGCTTCACATCTCTAGAGGTTGTCAGACCTCGAGAATGTGAATCCTAGTTAAATAAACTCCTGGTTCCAGAAATGGAGAATATGACGCAGATTCGGGAATCCTACGCGGGACCGAACCTGTCGAAATCCGGGAAACCAACTCGTTTTGTGATTTTTTAAGTTTTTAATTAATTTTCATATTTTAATCATGATAAACTTGCACCTGATGATATCTATATTACAATTAACAAATAAAACCACAGTTTTTAACTTTTTTCCTCTATTTTTCCGTTTTCAGATTTGTCAGATTTAGAAAATGTCTGGTTTTGATAGTTCGGATGAAGAGAACGAGGAGAATGTGCGTCCAGTAGAACCTATCAGGAACCACACTCTTATATAATGTGTGGTAGAGCTGAATTAAAAATGTATTATTCCAATGACCGCCTTGAGTTTATTCTTCTCAACGGACTGTTACGTTCACAGAGTATTTTAAAATACCACGATTTACGAATGAATTGTGTTTGTACAAAGAATATTTTAATTTATTTATTTTGATTTAATTAAACATGTGTGACTGTGTTTTTTTATTTTGTTATTGTTGAAAACGACTGATAAAACTTGTTCTGACAAGAAAAGCTTGTTTTGGTGGTAATCAGTACGCTTGGATATAATTCTGAATTTTTCTATTTTTGGAGCATGTTTGTTTATATTATAAGTGTTATTTACTGCTAGAATGGATTGTGGGAGCATGAGTGTTGTGTACTGCAAGTACGAATTGTGGTATGTATGTTTGTTTATATTATGAGTGTTGTGTACTGCAAATACGAATTGTGGTATGTATGTTTGTTTATATTATGAGTGTTGTGTACTGCAAGTACGAATTGTGGTATGTATGTTTGTTTATATTATGAGTGTTGTGTACTGCAAGTACGAATTGTGGTATATATGTTTGTTTATATTATGAGTGTTGTGTACTGCAAATAGGAATTGTGGTATGTATGTTTGTTTATATTATGAGTGTTGTGTACTGCTAGAATGGATTGGTTGAACCTATCTCACCCTGATCTGTGTAATACCCTAGCTCTCTCTTCTCTACCAGGATGCAGGAACAAGATCTCAATAAACCAGTTTATTTTTTAATTTTGTTTACAATTACTGAATTAGTGTACTGTTTACCGATTTAAAATTTATTTTTAAATTATGAATTTACTCATTTACTTCAACTTTTTAAATTATTTTTTTTATAAATATGTCCATTGTCCACTTTCAGTTGATTTAACTTTTATTTATTTGTTAATTTGATTTCTTGTTAAATTAGATTTCGAGATGTTCAGAGGAATCTGCAAAAGGAAAAATATAATTATAAACTTTACTATTTTACAATTGTAATAAATTAGCTGGGACAGCAGAAAAATGGATTTAACAAATAAATTTGACGACAATTTAAGAAAGAACATGTTGAAAATACAAATGGCTGCTTTAAGATCTCAGGACAACCAATTTTGAAAAAACAAAATTATGCATATAATTACATTTTGAGAAAAACTTTATTTTATTATTTATATACTTTGGGATTAGGATTTGGACCAGATATCCCAGGCAGGGATTTCACATGCAGTGGTACTCATGCAGACACCAGAGTTCAGGCAGTTCTTTAAACCTTATCTTTCCTTCAAACAAAACTAGCCAAAAAATCTACATTTTATAAGTTTCAAGTTTCATTAAGTTAGTTTTTATGCGTTTAAAAAATAAGAATTACTCAATGTTAAACTTGAAATCTATGAAATGAAGAAACTAACAAAGTTTACCGACTTTGGCATAGGCTAGTGCACTGTGTTATATTAAAAGCAAAAAAAATATAATTGGAATTGGAATGGATAAAGTAGGATATCTAAATACTAATAGGGTGGGAGAAAATATTATTCATCCACGATGATTAAAGGGCGTGATTACCTCCAGGAAGTACCGAGTACCCGACCTAGTATACGAGTATGAGAAGCGTGGGATTAGTGTTCTCCAGGTACCCCTGGTAGATGGAGGGGTTCCTACTCCGGAGGAGATGATGGAGATCCTAGAGAACCTGGAGAACCTCATAGAACAATCTGGAACTAGGCAAGTATTATTGCCCGAAAAGCGTAATTTTTTTACAAAATGAGTTTTGATGCTTCAATAAGCTTATGAATTTTTTTTCACGGTTATGGTAATGGAGGTTACACAATAGGGATCTTACACGATCATTGTTGTTATTATTATTATAATTGAGAATGAGAAGGGATCTTAATTTGGGGGGGGATGGGTATTTTTTAATCTTTGTATTTTATTCCTTTCTTCACATCCTTGGAAGCCCTCTCTATTCCTTTTCTTTCTAAAAATCTTATCCAAAAATACTTCCCAAAATTCCTTTCTAAAAATCTTATCCAAAAATACTTCCCAAAATTCCTTTCTAAAAATCTTATCCAAAAATACTTTCCCAAATTCCTTTCTAAAAATCTTATCCAAAAATACTTCCCAAAATTCCTTTCTAAAAATCTTAGATCGTTTTTAAACAAATCCCAACCCTACTCTCTAGCACTAGAATTATATCATTTTCTTCTCAATATATTTCGCCAAAAACTTTGGCATCATCAGGAGTTTGTCCTATAATATAACAGATATAGGCAAAAAATAAAAATAAAAAATACAAACACAGCAACTATAATAAACACAGAAGAGAACAAAAATAAAAATCTTTTTTATGTAAAATGGAATTTTTCAAAATGAATATTGTCAAAACACATAAAACTTAAAAGAAAAATTAGAAAACCGTAATATAATCCCGTAAAAAAAGTCCTTTGTAAGATAAATTTTTTCTTTTTTAAATCCTTTCTATGAATCCTTGTTATAAAATCCTTCTAAAAATCCTTTCTATAAATCCCGTTAAAAATTATTCTAAAAATCTTTTTTCAAAAAATTAAAAATACTTTTTCTAAAAAACTATCTGAAAATGTGTGTATTCAGGATACTGATACACTGTTACGGAGGATTAGGGCGCACATGTCTAGTAGCAGCCTGTTTTCTCATGTACTTGGATCCAAACCTACTCCCAGATTCAGTCATCTCCTATCTAAGGTTAGATCTTTAATAACAAATATTTAGAAAAAAATTCCTTTATTTTAAAAATGTCACCATTGATCTAAATCTGTAGATTATTCTAAGGTTTGTAAATATCATTCAGTGGTCGGTGTTTATATGAATACATTGAAGACGACTTTTCGTTTTTAAGTTTTGATTTCTAACTAGTTTTTTTCAAATTACAAATTCATAAGCATAGACAGAGAGAAGCTGTAAAAACAGCTGCTTTTTGTTTCCATGTGTGATGTATATCAACTATTCATGCTGTTCGAAAGCTTGGTAGAAATCAAAATTTCAATTGCAAGTCGTGTTTATTGTATTGATACATACGACAACTTTATTTCCCTGATATTTTTGCTGAGTTTAGGGTTACAAACTTGACTTGATGTACCATTGTTGAAAATGCAAATAGATAAGTTGAATGTTGTTAAGCTTTCTATTTCATTGAATGACGAATATTTGTCTTTAACAATATTAAAAATATTTACAATTAACAAAATCGAAACTTCTAAAACGTATATTTTTGCAACCTAATGATGTAAACTTATGAGTTTGGAGTTTGTAATATCAAAGGTCTGCGACTAAAAGTTTATAAGAAATAGGTATTAGAAAATCATAATTCATGACTAGTGTTTTGTTCCTAGAATGGTGTGACAAACCAAAATAAAACGGGTTTTCTTTAAAAAATGTCAAAATTTTTTATTTTATCACTCAAAAAGCAAATCATTTTTAATTTTCTTATATCATCTTGAAAATATGAACCCTGTTTTTATCAGAAATGTACGAGGTCCCCGTGCAGTTCAGACGGTTCGCCAGTGGAACTTTATCCATGAATTCCGAACCATGGAACAGGAGTTCCTGGGGAACAGGAACAGGCTGAGAGACGATAGTTCTAGAAGTGTTTCAAGATAAATTAAGATGTTCTAAAATCATAGTCTTACTCCGCTAGTCAGAAAAGTAGTGTTCTTGGTCTTTTCCAGATTTTAAATTTCAGCATTGTTAAACCAATTATTGTATATTAGAATTTAGTTTATATTTCTTACTTATTTTTTCTTATTTAGATTTCCTTTAAATTTCCTTTATATTAGTCTACTTATCATATCTTTCTTACTTTTCATTAATTCACTTTTATAATCTGTAAAGACACTATATAAATACATTAATTCACTTTTATAATCTGTAAAGACACTATATAAATACATTAATTCACTTTTATAATCTGTATAGACACTATATAAATACATTAATTCACTTTTTTAATCTGTATAGACACTAAAATACATTAATTCACTTTTATAATCTGTATAGACACTATATAAATACATTAATTCACTTTTACAATCTGTATAGACACTACATAAATTCATTTATTTAATCTATATTTATTCAATCTATACTTTACATTAATTCACTTATTTAATTTATACTTCATATTTATTTACTTACTAGAAATTCAGTGCGCTTCGCGCTCTTCTTTCTAGGCTTTTAGGGCGCTTCGCGCCCATCTTCTATTTAAACTTTTAATTGTGGCTCTATCTGTGAGCATCTTCTCTTTGTACAGTATAAAACAAAAACAAAAAAAGTTTGCGGATTTCATAATATTTTTTCGCGCATTTTCAAAATTTTACAAAAATAAAAAACTTTAAAACACAAATTTTTAAAATTTCAATCACTTCCTTGGGGTCCCTAGATGTCCCACAAAAAAATTGGGATTCAATCTATACTTCATATTTATTCACTTATTGAATTTATACTTCATATTTATTCACTTATTCAATCTATACTTTACATTAATTCACTTATTGAATATATACTTCATATTTTTTCACTTATTCCATCTATACTTAATATTTATACATTTATTCAATCAATACTTCATATTTATTCACTTATTCAATCTTTACTTTACATTAATTCACTTATTTTATCTATACTTTACATTTATTCACTTTTTAAATTTATATTTCATATTTATTAACTTATTCAATCTATACTTCGCATTAACTCACTTATTGAATTTATACTTCACATTTATTCACTTATTAAATTTATATTCAATATTTATTTACGTATTATTTACTTCAAATTAATTCACTTATTGAATTTATACTTCATAGTTATTCACTTATTAAATGTATACTTCACATTAATTCACTTATTGAATTTATACTTCATATTTATTCACTTATTCAATACTTATACTTCACATTAATTCACTGGAATTTATACTTCATATTTATTCACTTATTCAATCTATACTTCACATTAATTCACTGATTGAATCTATATTTCACATTAATTTACTTAATCAATCTATACTTCACATTAATTCACTTATTGAATTTATACTTCATATTTATTCACTTATTCAATCTATACTTCATATATCTTTACTTCACTTAATCAATCTATATTTCATATTAAATCACAATCTTAATCTTTACTTCATATCAATGGTTTTTTCTTTATTTTTTCTAAAAATTTTATATGTTTTGTAGTTGTTAAAGATTGTTTTTTATGTTATTGTTTAAAGCAGATAAAATTTAGCTTTTTCATTTCAGATTAATGCTTAGGGTTGTCCCAGTAGTAACTAGGTGTATAAGGTGAGTTGTTAAAATCATCATTGAAATATTTTAAAATTTTAATAATTTTGTTATTTTTTGTTTCAATAAATTTTAATAAATTTAAAATTTTTGTTCAAAACTAATCATTTGAACTTACTTTCTTAATGTTTAACAAGTTTTCAGCTAAGAAGTTTGGAAGTTCAATGTTCACGTCCCTAAAACTGAATTAATTTCGTTGTTGTGGTGATGATGAACATATATATATCTATTGAGTCCCATATTTATCTAGAAGTATGTCAGCAGTACCTAATGGGAACCTACTGGGGTCTCAATTGTCCCCATACTTGAAACAACATGCTACTAACCCAGTTCAATGGCTGCCATGGGACCAACAGGCGTTACAGAGGTAGGTATATTCCTTCTTCAGAGGTGTATTTTTTCCTAAAAAATATTTTTGTTCATCTCCCCCTCTTTTGAAAAACATTTTCTTTCCTCAGAAGATAAATATATTTGTGCGGAAATGGATATAATAACTCATTTTTAGGGGAAAATGGAATTTTTGGTTAACAGGTATTAATAAGGATTAAAAAAACTTCACTTTTTAATTTTTAAGTATAAATCTTCATTTTTTCCCCCGATCTTCAAAAAACATTCCCCCTTTAAGATATACTCTGCTGTTCCTGTCATAATTCGTAAATAATCCATGAAGTGAATGCACTACTATTTATTAATTTATTTAAAGAAGGTTTTTTTCTGGCCCCAGGCAATCCCACCCTTCAGCACTCCCCCTATCGATACGCATATTCATAACACCTGGGGTAGCCTGCTTAGTCCGTTTAAGTCATGTACTTAAGGCCCCTTGGTCCCCCTGAATTGGTTTAGTCTAATCATATATTGTTTAAGGGCCAAAGATGAAAACAAATTGATATTTTTATCAATTGGATATTCCACCTGTCACTGGTGTCATGTCATGGAGAGAGAATCATTCGAGAACCCAGAGGTAAGTTAAAAAATAAATACAGTTTAAAAAACATTTTGTAATTTTAATTTTCAGATTTTAGATTCAATTTTACTAACTGTTTTTATACAATTTTTCTTTTTTTTCTGTTCAGAAATAAATCTAATTTTTCTGTTTAATTTAGCAATTAACATTTACAAATGCATTGTGTATTACTCTGGCTATTAAGGTTGCTAAGATAATGAACGAGAACTACATCAACATCAAGGTGGACAGGGAGGAAAGACCCGACGTAGACAAGGTCTACATGACGTTCGTCCAGGTCTTTACAGTTCTACTTTATATCTTAGTCCTACGAAAATAAAATCAGCAAACCAAAATTTTATCAATAAATAAATCTTTTAAGACCTAAAATAAACCCAATTTTTTAACAAAAAGAAGTTTAAGAGAAACATATTTACCCTTGTAAAAAGTGTTGTGTGTGCAGGCTACTACTGGTGGTGGTGGTTGGCCTCTGAGTGTGTTCCTCTCTCCTGATCTAAAACCAGTTTACGGTGGAACATATTTCCCCCCTAGGGGGGCATACGGTAGACCAGGGTTTCCCCAGGTTCTACAGGCACTGGCAGCACAGTGGGAAACTGAAAAGGTTAGTATTTCAATAGTTTCTTCATTCCAATTCCATTCCCCCCTTTATATAATGACGAATAAGGTAATATTAATTAGTTAGTTAATCGGCTACACAAATAATATGATTTTATCTGGAAAGATTGTTGCAGTACAAAATACACAATGCAAATCTTTTGCACTTAATTATTGTTTTCTGGTAAAAATATATCAAGGATGACCTCATCGAGGCTGGAACTGAGGTTTTGAAGATCATGGAAGAAAAGCTCGGAGGCCGGTCAACACATCCTGGTCCTCTACCTTCAGCCTCCATATTCCCAACCTTGTTTGCCCAGTTGTCCCAAGGCTATGACCCTGAGTTTGGAGGATACTCTAAAGCACCAAAGTTTCCTCAACCTAGTAATCTTCTCACTATGTTCAAGTAAGCTATGTTAAGGCGAATCGGGATGTTATGAACTTCTTTATTTTCTCAAGGGACAGTTTAACTTTAACTTCCCGCTGTAATATTTGGGAAATTAGTGTTCGGTATTGTTTTAATGATTTAAAGAAAGAGGAGAAAAAAATTCAAAAAACTGCTTTGTTAGATTACACTGTTGGGACGGACAACTAGAGGATAGAAAGAAAAGAGGACTGGAAATGAACCTTCATACTTTAAAGATGATGGATAAAGGTGGAATACATGATCATATTTCTCAGGTATATCATCGAACAAAAAATGCTCTAAGTAAAAATTGTCATTGATGATGCATGTATAATATATATACAAATATACCTTGAAATAAATTTAAATTGCATGTCAAGGGTGTCATGGTTTGCTTAGAGTAGGATCCAAACAGTTGGCATGTCCTTTTCTCATCGTAATCTTAAAATGACTGGAAATTATAAATATATTGACATCTAATTTCAGTCTTAACCTGACTTTACTGTAAAAGCCTTAGAAATCAACCAAAATTATTGTGCCAAATTGGTTCAACCCAGTTATTTAGGAACTGCCCAGAATCAGATTTAGTAAATATTGTTATATTCAGGGATTTGCAAGATATTCTACTGATGCTAAATGGCATGTTCCACATTTTGAAAAAATGTTATATGACCAGGTAAATAAGATGTAATTGAGAAATGTATAATCTATGAAATGTTCTCTAGAGCAAATAACATTAACAACATATTTTTGCTATTAAATGTCTACACACCATTGAAATCAAAAGTAAATATGAGCATAGAAATTGGAGGGGTAAATACTACACAAGGGCTGTTACTTAGCTTTAAGTTATGCGTTTCGTCAGAATCATCCTCGAGGGAAGGATTCCGTACGAATATTAATATTGATATTATTGAATTTATTACTCTAATATGAGTTTCACTTAATTTGCGATGTAAAATGATTCAAATTCTCTGTTTTGATTCAGAGCAAAATGGCTGACTCAGCATGGGTTGTAAAAGGTAGGTATGGTTTGGCATGGCTAGAGTTGCGGATGATGCAATTATTATGTTAACACCGCGGTGTTGGTTGATAGGGGACTATCCATTGCAAGAAAGTAAAGATTAATATTCATGTTCGTTTTCTGCAAACAAGGGGTTTTTAAGTTTTTCAGTGTGATGAAAAATAAATTGCTTTAACTTAGACTTATTGTACAGTCGTCCAGAATTTCTCGTAGAAAATATGTAATACATGACTATGAAACAGATTGTGTTAGTGTCCACGATATTAAAGATTAAAGGATTAGTACAGCCTAGAAATATTACGCTTTTAAGTTCGTCGTTAAGAAATTGATGGGGTAAATATTACCCTAGAAATTAAAATGGTAAATACTACCCTAGAAATTGAAGGGGTGAATATTTCCCAAGAAATTAAAGGGGTTAATATTACCCTAGAAATTGAAGGGGTGAAGGGGTGGTTCAGTTTAACCAATTTAAATACATTTGGGAATCCGGTATTCATTTTTGAGGAATCTGAATGAAATTTTGCTTAAGGGCATCATAAGTAAGTAAATAAAAATGTTGGGAAAAAATGATTTCCTCCCTTTTCCCCATTTTTCCATGTTGAATAAGATTTTCACCAAAAGGTCTGATTCAAAAACCAGCTAGGGGTTTTTAACACCTACCTGTTCGTCAAGAATCTCATTACTAACATCAGAAGTTTTAAGGCTTTTCAGGTCACTTCTCTCCCTATTTTACCATATTTTCCAACAGTGTTAATAGTTATCACATTTTCTGGATTCATGAATTCATTTTTTATTGAAAATTAAAAAATCTTTTGTGCACATCATATGCCACAATTGGTAAGTATTTTTGTAAAACAAAATAAAAAGGGGAAACAAAATATTTTCCCACTCCCTTTTCCCACTTCTTCCATGTTTTTTAAAACTTTCTAACCAAAAAGTCTGTTTAAAAGACAAGAATCTCATCACTAACATCAGAACAAAATTTAAGGTTTTCCAGATCACTTCTCCCCCTAATTTCCCACTTTGATAATATTTCCCTTTTTTAAAGATCACTTTCCCCTCTATTTTCCCCTTTTTTCCTTATTTTCCCATTTGTTAATATTTTAGATTTACTGGATTCATGAATTTATTTTTCATCGAAAATTAAAAAATCTTTTGCACACAGGACTCAAATGGGTAGTATTTTTGTAAAACAAAATATAAGGAGGGAAAAAATATTCCCCCCTCCCTTTTCCATGTTATAAAAGCTTTTTTTTTTTACCAAAACGTCTGATTAAAAGACAAGCTCATTACTAACATCAAAACTAAGGTTAAGGTTTTTCACATCACTTTTCCTCATATTTGATCATATTTTCCCACTTTGTTAATATTTTTCACATATCTCGGATTCATGAATTCATTTTTCATCGAAATTTTAAAAAATCTTGTGACTCAGATAATTAGAATTAAATAGAGTAAATAAATTAAATCAATTGAAGGTTATCTGTCGCTCGGCAAGAGGGAATTATAAATCTCTTCTATTTTCCATTGGAATATCTCTTTCTTCTTTTCTAAATCTCTTACTCTCTCTAATTCTTCATGTTTGTTCCACCTGTCTTGATATCTCGCCCAGATTTTTTCCGTTTTTTCCGGACTTAAGTCATACTGAATATTTCTCATCTCAGGGGGGCCATCCTCATCCACAAACCTCAAGAGGAGGTGCAGTGAACCCTTCTGGATAAATCACACTCCATCCTCTCTCCTCCTTTATTTTCTTCCCCTCCTTAGTCCAGGAAGCAGGAGAGGGATCATCTCGACGAAGAACATACCTCCAGACAACTAGACCAGATTGTCCAACATCCTTGTGCCTGAATCCTTCTTCAGGAGCGTAATGGGGAGAATGTTTCTTCAGTTTATAACCTCGAACTACTCGGACAGGTTGACCAGCTTTCCAGTCCTTGGCCTCATTACCGTCCTCATTGACGGAGCATTGCAGTTCATCGCCAACCCTCTATTCCCCTTAGTTATCTCCTTGTCGAAAGACTGGACGTTAGTTCTTCTATTCCCACCTAAAACTCGTCCTCCTGATCCAGTGTAGAGAAACTCCTCACAGTTGTCGACATCATCCTCGTATCCTCCGTTGAGAACTATCGACATGGCTCCCAATTTCTAACTAGCGTGTATTCCTGCAACGGGTTGTCGATAGATCCCGTTCTCAGAGAGCTGGATTCTTCTATACCAAGTCATTCCAACCTCAGTTCCGGGAACCTGTCCTTTATGTCCCATTGGAATCTTGCACTTTTTCTTCTCAACATTACTCTCTACATCTTCAAAATTAACCTCAGGATTCTTCTCCGGTTCCGGCTCAACGACCTGCTCGCTTGTATTCGCATCGTACAGAGAGCCAAGAACCTCTCTCTTGTGTACCTGAACTGATCTGAATTTATATTCTAGATCTTGGATAGTTTTCTTGTCAGCAGTGTGTAGAGCAGCAAAACGTTCAACCTCAGCGGACTTGATCTTAATCTCTGCATTTTTATCCGCTAGAATCTGATCTCTCTGCTCTATAATCAGCTGTAGGGCATCTACTTTTCCTTCGATACTTCTGCTCTCCTTGAGTTTTTCCATTAGTTTCTTTTTCTCATGCTCCAGCTGTTTAAGCATCTCTGATCCTTTCTCCTCTAAAGCTGCAAGATTCTCATATCTTCTTCTCACAATCTCAAGTTCTGATTGGTAGTTTTTCGTTCTCTTCGTGTTGAACTCAGAGTTGTTTCCAGCTCAGAACTTTTATCCTGTTCCTCCTGTAGCCTAGTATCCTAAAACCTCTGGTTAAAAGACAAGCTCACTACTAACATCAAAACTAAGTTTAAGGTTTTTCACATCACTTTTTCTCATATTTCATCATATTTTTCACATATTTTGGATTCATAAATTCATTTTTCATCGAAAATAAAAAATCTTGTGACTCAGACCTCAGTTGAATACTATTAAAAAATGCTTTAAGATTTTACCCCAGAAATTAAAGGTGCAATTTTTAGCCTAGAAATTATAGGGGTAAATTTTATCCTAGAAATTATAGGGGTAAATTTTACTCTTTAAATTGAAGAATTTAATATTACCCTAGAAATTAAAGGATTTAATATTACCCTAGAAATTAAAGGCGTAAATCTTTTCCTCGAAATCATAAGGGACAAATTTTATCCTAGAAATTATAAGTGACAAATTTTATCCTAGAAATTATAAGGGACAAATTTTTTCCTAGAAATTATAAGGGACAAATTTTATCCTAGAAATTATAGGGATAAATATTATCCTAATAATTTTATTGATAAATATTATTCTAGAAAATAAAGGGGTAAATTTTTATCCTAGAAGTTAAAGGGAAAAATTTTATCCTAGAAATTAAGGCGTAAATATTATCCTAGAAATTTAAGGGGTATGGGAAATGTGTATTTGTGCATATGCAATTGTACTCAGCATTTTCTGTACCCCTGACGCATTTGTTGGTTTATCCTAATAATTCTTGTGTTCTATCATCTATGTGTTAAGGCCCAGCTGGTTACAGTGTACAGTATAGCTGCTCAGCTGACTGGGGAGGACTGCTATCGATCAACTGTTGAGGATATTCTGACATACGTAGCTAGAGATCTCACACATCCACTTGGAGGATGCTTCTCAGCAGAGGTATGGATAGTTGTCAATTATAACACCTAAAATAAATAACATAAATATTTGTCTTTCTTAAGAAATTACAATAAAAATACACTATAAAATAGCTTTTATTGGAATTCCTGAGCGGAACTTGACTATGAAATGCGGGAATTTTTTTTTGGAAAATTCGCAAATTGCAGTTTTCATCAGTTCTTCAAAGTCCATCATGACAGCGAGACTGCTCAATAATAAAAGGGGTAAAAAAACCTAATATGTGGTGAAAACTATATTTATTCTACTCTAAACAAACAGGGTGTATATCAGTACTGGAGATGTCTTGAATATAGAAGGCAGAATTGTTCTGCCATGGCTAAAACTTTCATAGATGGTAAAGATATAGAGCAAACGTCGTGATCTATGAGCTATAGAGCAAATGGTTAATAGAGCAAATGGAACTAGAGCAAATGACCATAGAGCAAATGGAAATTTGAAATTGAATTGTTGCCTTTGTTTCTACCAGGGTACTCAAGAGTTCCCTCAAAATATGTTGGCTCATTCGGTCCAGCCGTTTGGCCATCTATAGCTAACATATATTATTAACAATCAACCTACAGACAAAGTACAACGACCTGTAGGTTGAAATACAATGAAAATAGGGTTGAGCTCCTCCACTTGCCCTGGTCTATATAGGATCTAGTAGTTCAATACAATATATATTAGTAAAAACGCAACAATCTTATAACATGTATGCATAAATACAAACTATGATGTTACACATCTATACATATGAGCGAAGAGCTTTATTGTAAAGATGAATTTTCCTATTTTACCAAAACTCCATAGTAAAACCTATCGATCGGGGTTTTGTATGTAATAAATGGTGAGGGAAAAAAGCAAGCTTTTTATAAAACTTTGAGGAATTTTTATATTTAGGAACTGATCTGAGTGTGGCTGATGTGATCGTACACAAGTACAATATAGAGGAGGAAGGGAATGTAGATCCTAGTAAAGATCCCCATGGAGAACTTATAAACAAGAATGTTCTAACTACTCTACCAGAGAAGGTAACTAGGGAGAGGGAATAAAGATCCCATGGAGAACTTATAAACAAGAATGTTCTAACTACTCTACCAGAGAAGGTAACTAGGGAGAGGAAATAAGGTGCTGGAGAATGAGACATCGGAGAACAAAGGTTGAATTTTATGAGATCGAGAATCAGCTCAGCTTACCACAACCATTTTAACTAGTTCTTGTTCATTAAATCTAGCAGGGAAAAGAAAAAAAAATAACTCAACATTGCTATTTTGTAATTAATCATTTGTAATAATCTTAATCCGTTCTACACGTACTAGACTAGAAAAGTGGAAAATCAATTTGCTCTAAAACATGCATATAGTAAATAATATATATCTGATAAGTAAAACACAGATTATTATTCCATTTTATTACAGAAAACAAATAATAAATAGTGGCACATTTTTGGCCTTAACAATAAGATTATAACTTTTAATTTTAGCAATAAAATATATATCTTATTATATTATACAATTATTATCAAGGCTCCTATTTGTGATGAAGAACTGTATAAATCAGCTGTTGAACGTGGAAGACAACTTCTGTATGCTGCCAGACAAAAACGTCCAAGGCCTGCTCTGGACGATAAGGTAGTTTTGTGATCAATAAACAGGATTAAAGAGAGTAAGATTTAAGATAAGGTAGTTTTGTGATCAATAAACAGGATTAAAGAGAGNTCAATACATATTGTGTTTGTTGAATAGAAGAGACCAGGGTTTAAGTATCACATTTTTGATAAATTTAACAATTATTCTTTTCTCAGAACTGTTACCACTGTTCCAAGTTGAAGCTTTTTAGTTAGAATTTAAAAATATTTTACGATTTTTCAAGAGAATTGGTATGTAAGAAATTCTATACATACATTTTGGAAAATACAATTTTTCAAAATTTCTACAATTTTGGAGTAAATTGGTGTTTTCAGTAGAATCAATGTATGTAAATTTTCGATTTTTTTTTAAAATAGAAGTTCTACTTTGACTCCTTTGACAGTCTGTAAGAGGTATAATGGTAAGTGTATATAAAGTTTAATAGATAATAAATACGTAATTGTTGGCAGGTACAGACAAAAGTATGTATGAATGTTTATTTAGATGGAGACTGATGAAGGAATGATGATGTTGTGAATTTGTGTAGTAGATTGGATTGGGATTGGGATTGGGATTGGGATTGGGATTGGGATTGGGATTGGATTGGATTGATTTAGTTAACTTTGATTTGATTTGATTTGTGTAATTAGATTTGGATTGATTTGATTTGATGTGTTCAACATTATTTATTTTGATCAGGAAGATCGATTATTGCGAAGTGTATATGGAGGAGAAGGAGAAGAACTAGTTCAACTACCAACTCCTATTTATGGGTTTATAGGTGACTACGCTTTTGTTATACAGGTACAGTATTAATAGTAACTAGTCGATCATTATTAAAAGGATTGTCCTTTATCAACGGTACCCTTTTCACCATTATCTTATCAACAATCTGCAAAATTAAGTCTTATTCAGCTTAGAAGTGTTGGATTCTTCTAATTTCCTCCCATTTGATCAGCAGTAGAAAATGCTTGAGTAACTTATATTCTTTATGTAGAGAAAGAACAATAATGATATTTTTAAAAGTTAAGCAAGCATAAACATTGAACATCTCGTGCTTTTTTACCGTGGTATATAGGACATGCCACTTAACTAGAAAGTCACTTGAAAATACTACTTACTACAGTCCCTTCAACTGAACTTCATGATAAGGCAATCTTAGGTTTAAACAGAAGGGGGGGGGCGTGATAATTGGGGATGGAGTAATTTTATTTTATCTAAAGAGAGTAAGATTTAAGATAAGGTAGTTTTGTGATCAATAAACAGGATTAAAGAGAGTAAGATTGTTGTCAATTATAACACCTAAAATAAATAACATAAATATTTGTCTTTCTTAAGAAATTACATTTTTTAAGTTTCAAAACTGAATTTTAATTTTTATTGAAAAGGATGTTAGGGTATCAAATAAATGTTATTATGTTTTGAAAGAACTTGTACTGTCAATTGCAATTTAATCATTTTTTTCTCTAAATTTTTGGAAATGATTTCCTGACAATGGATACCTAATTTACATTCAATTCTAAAGAAATCAATGAAGAAAACTAATAAAATTAGATTCGATTGAATTTTTAACATAATTTGATTAAATGATTGAATCACTTCATGCAATTATTAAACTAATGTTATGCTAGGATNGCGTGATAATTGGGGATGGAGTAATTTTATTTTATCTAAGAAGGGTTAATGAATAATGAATATATTTTCAAAAAAAATGTTTATTTTTTCCAAAATATTTCGTTGAAAAGTAAAGTTTTCTCGGTCTCCACATTAACATAAACTATATTTTTTTATACTCTGCAGGGAATGCTTGATCTTTACGAGGCTACTTTTGACAATGAATGGTTGAACTTTGCTGTTAAACTCCAGGTTTGTTTTACCAAATTATATGGCTAAATATCAAGATATATTTTACAGTTGGTCTTTTGGTAATAGTGATGATATTAGTGCATTAAACAAAGAATAAATTAAGCTGTGTATTTCTTAAAGGTCATAATGATATTTATTAAAAATTGCAACATTCTTCTTCAATTTTTATATCTTAAAATTAAGCAAAGATTAGGTAAAGCTGATATGTAGCACAGCCAAATTCCTTATTTAAATTGTTTATTTCTCAAAGGACATAATGATTTATAAAAACCAGGCAACCATTTTCCGGCAAACTTTCATATATCTACTTGTAATTTATACACCTATATCTATATCTATCTAGGATATACAGGACTCCCTTTTCCTGGATCAAGAGCAGGGGGATCTTATACAACTAGGGATCAGGATCCTCAAATATATATATACACCTTTATCTAGGATATACAGGACTCCCTATTCCTGGATCAAGAGCAGGGTGGATATTATGCAACTAGGGATCAGGATCCACACATATATATATACACCTTTATCCAGGATATACAGGACTCCCTATTCCTGGATCAAGAGCAGGGGGATATTATGCAGCTAGGGATCAGGATCCTCAAATTTATATAAATACACCTTTATCTAGGATATACAGGACTCCCTATTCCTGGATCAAGAGCAGGGGGANTGCCCCCCCCCTTAAAACCCCTATTTTGACAAAAGTATTGATTAGTTTTTAACTATATTAAAGAACCTTTCATTCGTAGTCTTTGCTTGGTTTAGAGCATAAGGAAATGAGATTTTTTCAAAAACTCCTAAATTATAATCTCTATATTTGTGCAACCCGATGTCGTAGATCTTTGATTTTTAAACTATGAATTCTATGAACTATGGAAAAGCCTAAGTTTGAAATAAGATTTAAATAATCAGGTTTCAAAAATGTAGAAATTAGAAAATTTGCGTTTGTGGCAAAAATTTAGTTTCCGTCTCGAAAAATCTTTCCCCCCTTTTGAAGAATAATTTTCCCTTAAGAAATTAGTTATGTTTTAGCGGAGCAGGATTCTATTTTGTTGAATATTTGGGTATGAATTTTAATAAAATGATAAAAACATCCCTTTTGATATCAAGTTTTTTTCCCTCCAGTTCATCCAAAAAAACAATTTTTCCTACAGAAGTCAGGTTTGTTTGCGCGGAATATCAAAACAATTTTTAGGGTTTTAACTGCCTTTTGGTGCCAATTTTTAATTAATTTTGTTAATAATCAAAAATATTTTTTCACAGAAGTTATGTTTATTCTCAGGGTTTTACTTGCTGAATTTTTGTTTCAAAAATATTATAAAAGGATGAATTAAGTTGCATTTTAATATCACATTTTTCATTTTTTCCCCACATCATGTAAAATCATTTCATATATGAGGCTCCCTTTGTTTGCACTCTAGATAAAAAGATACTTCTTATGTAATTTTCTTTTCATTTTAGGACGGCGCCGAACCTTCCAGTAATTCTATCTCGGCGATGAATCTCCTTCGTTTAAGCAAACTATTGAACAATACTGTTTATAGAACAAAGGTAGGAACTCAACCGTTGAATCCCGTGTTTTATAGTTCAACCTTTTCTCAGATTAGGAAAATTTACAAAAATATAATAGAAATATTGATAAATTGACTATTGTAAATCTGTGTAAAATTTTAACTTGAATATCTATTGAATCATCAATAAAATGTGGGGGAAAGGGGTTATGTCATCATTTAAAAAAAACTGATTTGGCCAAAATTCATTTTATTTAAAATTTTAAATGTTGTAGCGAATAAACATAAAGAATTTATGAATAGTGAGAAGTATTTTAATTCAACTAAATTTAATCACTTTTCTCCTGCACCAGATTAAGGTTAAAAAGATGTTAAAATTCGTCTACATTGTTCAACTACTTGGTATTCATTACATATTGTCCCCGGTCTTATACATAGTTTACTGAAGGCTGAAGAGATATTTCAACTGTTTACTGCTCGGTTGACCCAAATACCGGCGAGTATGCCTGCTCTGGTGGACGCTTTTCTCACATATCACCAGGTAAATACAGGGGAACCCAGAAAACTGTGGAATGTGAAGACGACTTTAAAGCTTAAATCATGATTTTAATTAGTCCAATGAGCACGAAACATAGCAATTGTGTAGTGTACGCTGCTTATTATGTTGAATTTAAAGCTACTTTTTTATGGGTTCGACTGTACAAGTACAGTACAGTATACAGTGCACTGTTAACCAGATAACAGTGCACTGTATACTGTACAAGTACAGTACAGTATACAGTGCACTGTTAGCCAGATAACAGTGCACTGTTAGCCAGATAACAGTGGAATTATTGTTGTCTTCCTATATTTTTTAAAATGTCGGTTAGGTTTATTAAAATATTACAAATCGATTAAAGTGCAACCTTTCCGATTTACTCTTGATTACATCAATTTCTGGTACCCAGCGGCCACGTAAAAGATTTTTGAAGACACATTTACCATCTTTGCCATTTACAAACCATTCTTTGCATGTGCTAAAGAATGTGACGCTCCAATTGAGACTTAGTAAAGGTTAATAAGCAAAACAAAAATTGAAGAAAATGACCTATAATAGTATAATATCTAGGATGGACCTGTGTTGGTAGTAAAAGAGAACCTGAGCCTAATCAAGGATATCCGAGTCAAATATCGTCCGTTTCTCACCATTATCCACCTAGACCAGGAGACCAGTATCTTCTCAGGGTTCGGAGATCTTAAGGTGGAACCAGGAGAAGGGGTTCTCATTCAAGCCACAGAGGAGAGAATTAAAATTTCCAGTGTTGAGGAACTTGAATTAAAAATAAAAACCGGAAAACCATGAAACATTGTCCAATATTTTTTTGTCGAAATAGAAAAATTTTCTACAATCAACGAATTTGTCTCAAGAAATTGTCAGATTGTCTTTTTTTCTGAAATGAAGGCTCTACTACGTTATAAATTAAACTTTTTACACAACGGGTTATAAAATTATCTTTTTACTCAACGGGTTATAAAATTATCTTTTTACACAACGGATAATAAAATTATCTTTTTTAAACAACGGGTTATAAAATTATCTTTTTACTCAACGGGTTATAAAATTATCTTTTTTACTCAACGGGTTATAAAATTATCTTTTTTACTCAACGGGTGATAAAATTATCTTTTTACCCAACAGGTTATAAAATTATCTTTTTACACAACGGATAATAAAATTATCTTTTTTACACAACGGGTTATAAAATTATCTTTTTACACAACGGGTTATAAAATTATCTTTTTACATAACGGGTTAGAAAATTATCTTTTTACACAACGGGTTAGAAAATTATCTTTTTAGCTCCTTCAACTTTTATCACACAATTGATTTTTTTTTCAAACCCCTTATTGTTATTTTGGAGGACTTATATTAAGTCTGGAGAGTCATTTTTACATAACAATTCTCGACAAAATTTTCTGTGATTTATATGCTCATCACGCATGTATGAGTTTATTTTAAATTTATTTCTTTGACTGTTCCAATAAATTTACAAAATAGATATTATCATGTATTTGTAAAAAACATGCATCCTATGGACAATCATCAATTGTTATTACTTATTATTATTAAGCCCCGTGTTATTAAAAATGTTATATTTCAGAAAAATGATTTACCTGGGTCAGTTCGACATTGAGATTCATATTTTATCTTCTGGTACCAGATAAAAGAAATGCTTTATACTTCTGAAATAAATTTTGAAACAATGATTTGAAGTATCAAAAGACGATCTGAGGCAAGGACTGCTTATCTTAATAAAAAAGGTTATTTTTGTTTTGGGAAAAGGTTTTTTTTAGACTGTTTTTATTTGGCTATCCTACCCTGGTTTCTTTTTCTTTGTGGACCATTTCAGTTCGGTTTCGAGTTGGTTTGATCAACAGAAACATAAATCTTAACAAACTTTTAAAAAATTTACAATCCATTTGTTTAGGTAGAGTTGTACAGTACAGTGTAAAGTATAGTTGTACAGTATGACGGGTGAGAAAAAGGACCTGTACAACTTAGCTGACGGTTGGTTAGAGCTAGAGAGTGATCCTGGTCTCTTCACTCTTCTCATGGAGGATATGGGAGTACAGGGAGTACAGGTACATAATATTAACTCTACTCATGGAGGATATGGGAGTACAGGGAGTACAGGTACAGGATATTCACTCTACTCATGGAGGATATGGGAGTTAAGGGAGTATAGGTACATAATATTTACTCTACTCATGGAGGATATGGGAGTACAGGGAGTACAGGTACATGATATTCACTCTACTCATGGAGGATATGGGATAAAAGGGAATACCTTGAAAGAATCTATAAAATGTCGTTTTTTAAACCTACTAATAATGGAATGCTGCAGATATTTCGTTTTTTAGTTTAAAAATTATAATGGAGCTCTTTAAAACTATTCCTGCTTATTTTATGGCTTTTTTATTTTACAATAAGATTTAAGTATAATAGTATAAACCCTTTTAAGAAATTGTCTATGACTCCGAAGCTCTAGGTAGTTAAACCATCAGAGATGTCCAATGAATTAACAAGTCTGAACTTTTGTACTCGAGAAAGAGTTAAAGAAGTGTTCTTTAAAGGGGTAGAGGTTGATAAAAAAATAACCTTTATCAGATCTGAACTGCTTGATAATTGTTAGAATTCTAGTTGAAACTGTGAAATGTGATGCTTTAGCAACACTAAATCAAGGATTTGTATTTCACATTGCTCTATTAGATTTATAATCACATTTTAACATTAAGTAAACTGTATTATGATGTTATGTGCAGTACCATAAAAGAAAATTTTGTTCACTCTTGTTACAAAGTTTTTATTGTTAAATACCATTTAAAAATGTTATTTCATCTAATTTCACATGTGATATTCAAATATAGTTAACATGTCATATCTAAATTTTAAATGTGATAATGAATCTATGAGAGCCAAGGTTTGATAAAAACAATCCTGTATATAATGTGTCAAAAGCAGTAAGTTTCACAGTATCATCTAGAACTGAAACCATCATCAATCAGTTCAGATCTAAAGAATTTGATGTAGATAGTGATGATATATACCCCCTCAGCATATGCTCGACTATAGAGATGCTCTTAAAGGTTTCAACCAAGAAAAATAATCTATCCTCTACTTCCCCTTTTAAGAACATTGTGGATCCAAACATTAACTATGACTTTAAATATGTTGTTAATTAAACATTAAATTAAAAATTAAAAAATAGGATTTAAAAATGTACTTTTACTGTTTTGAATTGAAGCCATCGTTCTATGTTTTTCAGTTTAAAATGGATGAAGTAAGACATTTAAGTTCTAACACCTCCCCCCCCCCATCCCCTTTTCAAGTCTTTGGTGGGACAATGCACCCCCTTTGCCCCCCACCCTGTATACTCCCATTTTCTTAGGGACTACATAAAATGGATTCATGCTTTTTAATGCCTTACCAAATAAAAGCTTTTTTTGTGTTATTGTCACTTTTTTCTCGTTTATATTTCATTTTAAGTATTTTTTTCCCAGAATTTTACTTCTTATATCAAGCAGTTTTGGTGTAAATTCTGGACATTATTTATTCTACTTTTTAATCCCACTTTTAGTTAAAAATTTACTACCATCTGCTTTCTACTTACCTCGTTTACATTTATTTTTAGTTTTTAGTCAAATAAAATAAAATCTGTTACATTTTTATTTTACGTCTTCTGTATTCTTCATGTTTCTTTTTTATATATTTTTCATTTTAATTTTGTCTATAGGTTGAAGAAATATATGATCTACAACGTGAACCCCTTGTTGACAAGAAACCCTGCTACGGAGCGATCTTTCTCTTCCGATGGATTGAAGACCGGAGATCCCGGCGTAAGATCGTCGAAGAAGAGCATTTGTACATGAAGAATGAGGAAGAAGTGAATAAGATATTTTTTGCAGAGCAAATGATTCCTAACAGGTGACAGTGTGTTTGCAGAAAATACTTGCAATAAAGAAGAACATTTTTTATTTGCATTTTTCTTCTAAAAACCTTTCTTTTTTTATTGTTCATTATTAGAATTACATTTATGGCTAGGAAAAAGTCCTTAGGATCCATTTAATTTTGACTCGGATCCGGATCCAGGTTATTTTGACTCGGATCCGGATCCAGGTTATTTTTTTGAAAACTGAATCTAAAAAAGCAGAATTTTCAAATTGTTTGTCTTATTTTTTCGCTTATTTTTAAGCTAACTTGATGAACCATTCAGAAATCGGAAAATTTTTATAATCTCTATTTTTTTAATAGTTCAGATTTGGGTTTTAAGAGAAAATTTTTTTTTGCAGTTTTTGGTTAATACTTTGCCCAAATTAGATCTGGATCCGTGGATGCGGATCCATGAAGCCAAAATCTTGCGAAGCACTGCTAGGAATTAATCTTAATCTTTCCGTTTGCAATGTAATTATATTTACTTCTAACAGTAGAAAGAAAAAAGATTTGTTAAACAAATTGGTTTGCCTCTATGTTATTAAAATTTTCGTTAATTTTGATAAGAAAATGAGTTTAAGTCTCATTTCGAAAGCTAATAATAATCTTTCCTACAAAAAGCTATAGGTCTAGAAATTTCAGCTGTACAACAATGTTGGACTAAAAATTTGTTAATTTCAGCTGTGCAACCCATGCTTTGGTTTCTATTTTACTAAACTGTACTCAACTCAAGCTTGGCAGTACACTAAATACACTCAGAAATCATGTACAAGGTAGGGAGTACACTTAATATATTCAGAAATCATGTACAAGGTAGGGAGTACACTAAATACGCTCAGAAATCATGTACAAGATAGGGAGTACACTAAATATATTCAGAAATCATGTACAAGGTAGGGAGTACACTAAATACACTCAGAAATCATGTACAAGGTAGGGAGTACACTAAATACGCTCAGAAATCATGTACAAGATAGGGAGTACACTTAATATATTCAGAAATCATGTACAAGGTATGCAGTACCCTAAATATACTCAGAAATCATGTACTGAGTGTCAGGTTTAGGCCAAATGTGCAAAGTCATCTTTTTTATTTGTTAATATTTTCTTACAAAAATGGAGAAACCTTGAAATCAAATTTATTCTCCGTATTTAAAAGTATAATATGATATATATGTAATATATCAAAGTGGGTTTTGTTCTGAATTGTTGAATATTTTCAAATTATGAAAGTTGGTATATGTTTTAAAACGCATCCAAGATTCAAATTCGTGATATGTTCGAAAATAGAAAACCTTGTTTTAAAAATGGTTTTGGGTTTTCAATGATAATATACGACTGCTCACACTTTTAATTTTAGAAAAGAAGTAAACGGTGTTATTTGTTGTCGTGCTTAATGATATGCTGGAAATAGTTTCTTTAAGTGATATTTGCACTCGGCACAGGAAAGGTTACTAGAACGTTGTGCTCAAACCTCTTTCCCTGTTTTTAATATTTATTTATTTAGGAATGAATCCTGAAAACAAAGGTTTATCAATCGGGAACTGTCCGGAGCTAGCACAGGTAGAAATACCAATTAAAATAAAACTAGAAAGATGGGCCCTCAAATAAAGAATATTTTCCCCATCCAAAAATTTACTTAGTGCATATATTCTCATTTTATGCGCAGGCGCACAACTCCCACGCTGTACCACGGGCACGTCGTAGGTTTGAGAAGAATAATGTTCCCACAACAGGAACCAGGTGATTAAAGTAATTAAGGATTAGATATTGTTAATGTTTAATCCTATACAGGCTGGGGTATAAATGCATTTTCATAGCCCATTTTTTTCAAGGTCAATCCATTGAAAAAAAAATCAGACCAATAACTTTTTAACAGTTTGGATGCTAGGAAAGGTTAAAGGTCAAAAAGGGTTAAAAAATGTAAAACATTATTTTTTTTTATTCAAACAACTATCTAGATGTGACATGTCTCTACATGCATTTTTCAAAGCCTTTTAAAAATATAGTCTTTAGATCCATAGCTTTAGACACTAAAAAGTTATAGTCATTTTTTTTGTCAACAGAAATTTTTGATTTAAATTTTTTTATTGTTTTGAAATTGATAAATAAAACAAGTTTCTTTTTAATCTGAAATTTTTCAGCTTGTCTTACTTTCTAGATATACTGGAGAAGCATTTCATTTTGTGAGCTATGTACCGATCAATGATCGTCTGATCGAACTGGATGGGTTGAAAAAATATCCAATTGATCACGGACCTATTCCTGATCCTGACAATTGGACTGAGAAACTTCGTCAAGTGATTACAGAGCGTCTTGGAATTGCTACAGGGATGAGATTTTTCATTATGATCCGTTAAATATTATGTTAATTTAACGGCCCACTCCTCCACAAACATGAAAAAAAAAAAATTTTAGATGTTAAAATTTGTTGTGATGAAAAATACTGCAAATTAAGAAAGACGTAAAAATAGAAATAAATTAATCTATATGGCTTGTCTGTCTGTTTGTTTGTATCCAATAAACGTCAAAACGGCTGAACCGATCGGGCCCAAATTTTTTGTGGGACATCTAGGGACTCCAGGGAAGGTTTATGAATGATTGAAATTTTAAATATTTGTCTCAATCAAAATTCGATCTTCATTAAATTTTTTAAAATTTTGAAAATCCACGAAATTTTTTGTGAAAATCCGCGAATTATTTTTGTTTTGTAGTAAAAATAATTTAAAGCTTTAAAAGTTTGTTAAAAACTGTCATCTTTTGTTAGGAGGTGGTGTACCTTACCATGATATCAGGTTTGCTCTGATGGTTCTAGTTCCTGACACTAGGTGTCTCTATCAGTCAAACCTAACTATGCTAAAAACCAACAGAGAAATTGTTATTACAGGTTATTCCATTCTAAAAATAATAAAAATAATAATAATAACATGCCCCTTGTTTAAATATTCGATATCTGGGAGTGGACACTCCCTTATTTTATTAAATAATGGATTGGCTTTTTATGTTATTAATGATTGTATTTTATAATTTGTTAAAAACTAGGGGTATACTCACCTAATATTTGAGTAAAATAATTTTCAAGAAAATATAAGTTCCGCGTAAAGGCAAGTCTGCAGATCTGTCATATTCATTAGGATTTTTTATCCTCTTGTGAAGCAAAGTTTTGTGTATAGTAAATCTATTCTTATTTATTTAATCCATTTCAATTATTTCCTTTTATTTTTCTAATCTTTATCTTGTGAAACCGACAGGAGCACTAGGAATCTTTTGGCTTTACTCCATCACCTGAATTCACATTTAGCTCTGAACTAGGGTTTCCAGCGAATATTATATTATTATAAAAATAATATAATATTATAATCATAATTTATTTAGCGCTGCGCCAACTACTGCAGATATGCTATAGTAAGAAGGTAGCTGGAGCTAGGGTGAGTACAGGAGATGCGGAGGATAAGGAGGAGGCTGAAGACTGTATTGCTGTCGAAGATATTGGAGCTACACTTGAGGTTGCTCATATATTTTTTTAAGCTATAAAGTTCCCTTGAATTATTTATACATATATGTTTTAAAAGGACTGTATATGTAAATTCTAATGACCCCCTTCTCTATGTACAGAGTGGCATGTCCGATACACAAGGTTCCCTTAAACATAGGTCCAATGAATACGAAATCCTTGTTTTCATGGTTAAACTTGATCATTTTTAATTGTATTGGCTTGCGAATTTTTGCAGTAAAGGAAATTGTCCGAATTGAACACTTGTTTAGAAAAACGACGATACCATCCTTATTTTTACTCAGAGTACGGTTTAAAGGGTGCCGTTGTGAATCGTGCCTGCCACTCTTTAATTGGAGGGTTACTTGAAAATATGTTATGAGATATCTTGTTGACGTTGTTGCTCTGATTAAAAGATTTAATTTTTTAAGTTACATTTCTATTTTAAGGTTGACAGACTAGAGAAGGAAGTGCTTCAGGTTCTTGATGATGAGGTTCATTTAAACCTTGGAACTTCAGCATTAGAGATTAAACCTACAGATCATACAGCATCTAGAGGTAGTTTTCATTAAGCCTTAGAACTTCGGCATTACAGATGAAACCTACAGATCATACAGCATCTAAAGGTAGTTTTAATTAAACCGTAGAACATCAGCATCAGAGATTAAACCTACAGATCATACAGCATCTAGAGGTATTTTTTATTAAACCTTAGAACTTCGGCATTAGAGATTAAACCTACAGATCATACAGCATCTAGAGGTAGTTTTTATTAAATCTTGGAGCATCAGCATTAGAGATGAAACCTACAGATCATACAGCATTTAAAAGTAGTTTTTATCAAAACTTAGAACTTGAGCAATGAACATTAGATAACAAACCTACAGATCATTCAGCATCTAAAGGTAGTTTTTATTAAACCTTAGATATATAGAACTTCAGCATTACAGACTAAACCTTTAGATTATCAAAAGTTTTCACGAATATTAAGTGCCGTAAATGGTTCATAACTACTCTCGGATAACAAAAGTAAAGACTGACTAAATAAATCAAAAGATTGCTCTTGAATATTGTCAAATATAAGTTAACCAGTACTACCAAATTTTATGAATTAGAGAGTGGTCACAGACAGAACTATCTACCGCGCTGGTTCGAATCCTAAAGATTCATGAGGATTTGAATCAGTGATTCAAGATTAGTTCAGCAACTTCTCCAGTTCGTTGAGGTCCCCGTATGCAAGTACATTGCAATTTAAGTTACAAAACTTATTGTTTTCAGAGCGTGTGCCAAATAAACCCCTGATCCGTCTATCACGAGGCAGCTCTATGGATTGTCAACCCAAATCTCCATTCCAGTCTAATCCACTTCTCACAGCTCACGACTACTCTAAATCCCCGATGATGGAAGGATGTGAAGAGGATGAAGAGGAAGAGGAGGAAAGAATGGAGTTGGAGAAGGAAAATGAAGGACGGATGGGGGATGGTAGAATTAATCAGGACGAGACGAATAAATCGGAGGATTCAACACAAGAGAATGGGGAAACTATTATTCAGGATAAACTTGACAAGAACGGAGAGAAATCTCAAGCTTTGTTTAGTCTGAGTTTATCCGAGAATAAACCTGAATTTAATCCTCAGCAGACAAAACTTCAAGAACCTCACTTCTTCACACCTAGAGACCTTCTAACACTTCTCAGGTAGGTTTAAACGTACATCAGGGGCGCAATTAGGGAAGTAATGAGAAGGGGCCAGGGGCATAGTCTGAAATTTGTTTAAGGGGGCTTACATTTTTTTAATTGGGGCCCAATAAAACATGGAACTATATATGTTATTCACCCAAGGAGGGATGCTGCCCCCGTCCCCACTGAGTACGCCACGGTGTGGGGGGGGGGCTGTGGTTAAACTACACTGTTGACGAAGACCGCCCGCCCATTTAACCAGAGCGGGATTTACATTGACATCTTTAATATTCCTGTATAGATAGAGATAATCTAGCAATAGATATTTTGGGGTTATCGTATATGTTGTGCTCATTTTTTATGGCTGAACTTAGTTGGTATGGTTCTCAGAGACAAAAATGAAGAAAAAAAAATAATAATACATTATTTATGGTTTAGACGAATAGAGACGGAGATCTATGTAACCGAAGGAAAGCTTAATGACGAGGTGGATACACATAAGAAGTATATAGTGGACGACTGTCGTCGTGTTCATAATTATGACGAGTTTATCACAACATTCATCTCTATGCTCGGTAATCTTTTAGTTTTATCTTATTAAACGAGGATTCCAGTCCCAACACTGACTGAAGATATGCAAAGCATTTCATGATAGCAGATGGGACTTACAGTAGCAAAAATTAATTCTATTCTTTTTAAAATTCTGTCAAAACTATTTCTTTCCTCAAAAAAAAACTTTGATAACTTGTTAACATATTGGGAAGAGAAATATTCTTTTTAACGGAAGAGGCAATTGATTTTTAAAGCATGAAATTCCTTTGCTAAATTTTGATTAAATTAACCTTTTGGATCAGTTAATACTTAGTCGAAACAAAAGCTATAAAAGCTAATTTTTAAACCACATTTTTCTTTTTCGGTGCTAATTATTCTGGAGATAAAAAATTTAATGTTAAGTTATAAAAGTTTTAACGTAAATTAAATGGTTGCTTAAACTGCTTAATTCTCGTTTTATTTAAAGGTGAGCAAAGTCTACTGGGAGAATTGGTGGAGCATGGTCTAGGATACAGGAAGGAGGACCCGGCTCTAGCTGGCAGGAAGGACCCAGGACAGCCAGGAAAAAAGGACCCAGGGCAGGCAGGCAGGAAGGAACAGGAGAAGAAGACGACTGCAGGGGATCCATCCAGGTATACTAGTTTATGAGTTTACCTCTTGGATCAGAATAAATAAATAGCCATTGCAGAATCCTCTACAGGGTCTCCCTCATCATATTGGAATATTAATATGCTCTAAATTCGGGTTTTTAGGATAACATACAGTTTTTAAAGGTAGTGACTGGCTATGTAAGGTAGTTGAACTGAGTATGCAGTGTTGTGGAAAACTTCTTTCGGATTTATTTGTGACATATAAAACTTTTTAAAGATCTATAAATCCTGAGTTTGAGTTCCACCCCCAAAGTAGGAGTTTTGAACGCCGAATTTGTGCTCAAACTCAGGATTTACAGATCTTCAAATGAATCCGAAAGAAGTTACATAGCCGGTCACTCCCTTTAAAGAAAAAATTATTTTGACAGAAATACAGGGTTTTTCAAACGTATTATTAGTCCGTGTTTTGGGTACCCTGATTTGGTTCTACTTAAATTGCCAGTGGAAGACTGATTTTTTTACTTGAAGCAGCTTTTTTTAAAATGCAATAAATAAAGAAATTACAATATAATTCCCATTCTTGATCAAACACACCTCAACCTGGACAATTGACCACAACACTATATTTCCACCACGGAGTCACGGAATCTAGAAATCTAGTTTAATTAGTACACTGGTACAGTACACGTTGTACAATGTACATATGTTTTTTTGTACACCATGAACTGTTGCTTAGGAAGACTGTTGTACCCCGGGCCCCGGTCAAGGGTCGGAAGAAGAAGAAACGGTTGGATGAAAGTGAATCCGATTGGTCGGACGAGTCCAGAGAATCTCCGGTTCCATCTAAACCAGGTTATCTTAAACCTTGACCGAGGATTATGGGTCTTAAAGTTTTTTATCTTCGATAATTTTTATTTATTATTTTAGTCGCATTTTAAATGCAAGCATTGAATAAAATGGATTAAAGATTTTTGAAATATTATACTTCAAAATTTGTAAATTAATAAATAGATATATTTAGATTTTTTAAAGCTAAGTCATGCAAGTAAAATCTTACTAAAAAGGTGTTAGCTTTTATTAAATGAATCCTTACACACTAAACAGTGAGAACCAGATAAATCCGTAATAGGAACACGACTTCAAATTATAACTTCTAATCGTCCAATGAACATGAGACGGATTGTGCGGTGTAAACAGACTCATTTCACTGAATAAATGATTTAATAAGTTACTGGTAAATCTATCAGCTTTGTAACAACATTAAATACACTTGATTATTACTTTCATGTCGCCTTCTTACTCCACAGTTTTCTGATTCTCACTGTATTTATTTTAATTTATTAAAGTCTTAAAGCCCCCCTATTAATCTTGTTTTGTTTAGTGATGAAAGTATTATATAACGACTCCTCTCTTCCTAAAGGATGGAAACGAAAGGTAAGATGTCATTTGTAGGTAGTTTAGCTACCTCTTTTCCATTCATTAGATTCGGCCCCAGATCATTTAATTTAGTAATAAGATTTGTATCTATAATGATTAAGACAGGACAGGACAGGACAGGACAGGACAGGACAGTGAATCATGAACTGCTTCTAGGTAAAGAAGAAGGCAGGGACGGGTATGACTAGCGCCAAGTATGATGTTTACATCATCAACCCCCAGGGTAAACAGTTCAAATCAAAACAAGAACTCAAGCTGTTTCTAGAAAAACAGGTTAGAGAAGAATCTTGTAATATTGTTTGATAATTTCATAAAAAATATTGCTCATTTTCTGTGATTCATCTTTACCATGTTGTAGATACTTAGCCAAATATTATTCTTTACTCTCTCAAATCTAATTATCAAAAAAATCGACATTTTTTTAATAAGTAAAAATTTTCCTGAACTTTAGGAGACAGACCTTGAAGTAGATGATTTTGATTTCTCTGTGTCTGGGATCAAACGTTCAGGAGTCAAGAGTTCGACTAAACGGAGAAAATGAAAACATTTTGATGACGAAAGTCAATGGATGGTGTACCTTCCGACCTACGCACATCCGCTATACTGCCCCTCTGGACTTTTTACACGTGGTTTTATAGCTGCTAGTTGGACATGAAACCGCAGCGCCCGTCCCTCTAGCCTGTAAAACCGCAGCGCTCGGCCCAGAAATTGTCTTAACCTAATTCCTTACTCTAAAATATTAGAACATAAACAGGTCTCGTGACAATATTACGACCATAAACCTAGGTAATGACAAAATGTTTATCTTTTTACCAGGAGCATGGGAAATCTGTTTTTTTTTGTCTTATGCGAAAGTTTTTTCAAAATCTTTATGTTTGTTGTGACGAACAAATCGTTTAATAACAAAACAATGCCCCGGACTTTTGTGTCTCAGAAATGTGTCTCACCCATAAAACCTGAAACCGGATATCGAAGACCATTTAAATACTTCATCTTTTCAGTAAACAATTATCAGTTTTTTAGTCCAATAAAATTGATTCTTTATAAATATCTGATTAATCAGAAATCACAAAAGATTAATTTGTTTACGGATCAAGTACTTAGTTGCTTCAAATTTAAATTTTCCGCTGTGAATATCGATTTCAGCACTTTCTCAAACATATAAAACATACACGGTTACCCACAAAGGATAAGACTTAAGGACGACTGTATTGAATTTATCACGATTCCCTTCAACTGTAAACTTGTTTCTTTCCTTGCCAAATTATTAAATTAGCCAATAAAATACTATATCTTCGGCAGAAGGCGTAATTTTAATTTTGACTTGTAATATTTTAAGAGTTTCTGGTCGTTTTTGCAGTTTCATCCTTTTCGGGCACCCCTGCATCTCAAATGTATAGACCACACAAATTTAATATAAAAGTTCTGTTCAGTATTATCCTTCACTTTTTTATTCAGATGTACTGTCAGTGCGGACTGTTTGCATGAAATTTTAACACTTTATTTTATATTAACTATGTTTTATATATTGTGATAATTTTCAAGATAATTGTACATTTTATCTTTTTACCCATAATGTTATATGTTTTGTTTGATTAAAGAGTACCTCAAGTGTTCTTGTTTCTCCAATTAAAGGGACTAAGCGCAAATTGAAGTGACCCTTCATGCAAAGATGGCAAAATATTTTGTTATATCAAGAATTAATTAGATATCAATGTTTGCAATTTAGAAAACTGGTAATTTTCAATTAGAATTTATTTAACGGTTTTTTTTTTTTACAAAATCTGGCATCAATATTACAAGTTTTAGTTTAACAAATAAATTAATAACAATAAAGTCAGAAAAAAAATCTGTTAAGTCCTGCAATTTAGTTTTATATGTATTACTGGTTTCAAAATGTTTAGAAAGAAAGGTTAGTGACACTAAAATGTATGAAAGAAAAGATTGTATTGTATCTGCATTGAAAATATTTAAGCTGGAATGAAATATTATAAAAAATTTAGTACAAAGAAAGAGCCGTACTTTTGTATGTGTGATATGCCCATTTTAAGGACTGTTCTGTTTTATGGAGCTAATTTTAATGTATGGATCATACCTATAGTTTAAGGATTATATTTCTGATGTATGGATTATACTACTTTTGTATATGTATCATTCTAATTTTGTATATGCGTAATGTGTATTGTACAACTTTTGTTTATGAACTATGCTACTTTTAGGTATGTACTAAAATGCTTTTTGATATGAGGTATACTACTTTGTCTTATGAATTATGCTACTTTTATTGATATGTATTTACTGCTCTTGTTAGAACTAGTGTTTTGGGGTAAAAATGCTGTTTAACGTATACACTAATGTAGCATTAGATTTGTAAAATTTGAATGCTAGATTTTTTTTAAAACTATCTTATAAATTTTTCGTTAGAGGTCGTAAACCCCATTAAATGTATGAAAAGATGAGTGTGGAAAGTTTTTATGGATTTTACGTTTTTACAAGTGTATTCATTTATTTAAGTGATTTCGCAATTTCAAGAGATGGGCCTGAAACAGATGAAAATAAGTTATGATTATTATCTCTAGAAATTTACTTCTAAAATTAGGTTGACAAATAAACGCAGCAAATTATATCAAAAATCAAGACGACATTCAAGGCCTCTTGCATATTGTCATGTTTCGTGGGACACCCTGTAACTAAATGTTACTCCCGCCGTTTATCCGCACTTAAACGATTTTATCGGATAACTAAATTTTCGCTATTAAAGTCAACCCAATCAACTTAGAATCTCACAACCAAGTTAAAAACAAAACATTCCCGTGGGTCTCCCGAGTTTCCTAATCAATATTTGAGGCAAATCGGTTCAGCGGTTCCTGAGTCATGATCGGGCAGACAAACAGAGATTACAACTTTTTATATATATAATATAGATAATCTTTCATTGGTTGATATTCAATCTACAAGGTTTGGATTATATATAGAGATTAAAAGAAAAGTAAACTCTTCATGAGGAAAGAAAGAGTTCATTTAAAAGTGTTTTTCCCTTAAAAACATTTAAAATACCTTTCTGACTTTTGGTTCATCATACGCAGCTTTAGGACAGAAGAGTGCAACTGTAGCTTCTCTCTCACCCATCTCCTGGCAGCACATACAACTCCGTTCAGTCTGCCAGATCTTACTACCAGATACCTTAACACAAGGTTGGTTTAGTCTGCCAGATCTTACTCCCAGATACCTTAACACAAGGTTAGTTTAGTCTGCCAAATCTTACTCCCAAATACCAATTAACACAAGATTAGTTTATTCTGCCAAATCTTACTCCCAAATACCTTAACACAAGGTTAGTTTAGTCTGCTATATCTAAATCCCAGATACAAGGTTAGTTTAGTCTGCCAAATCTTACTCCCAGATACCTAAACACAAGGTTAGTTTAGTCTGCCAGATCTTGTTTCCAGATACCTTAACACAAGGTTAGTTTATTCTGCCAGATCTTACTCCCAGATACTTTAACACAAGGTTAGTTTAGTCTGCCAGATCTTAATCCCAGATACCTTAACACAGATTAGTTTAGTCTGCCAGATCTTACTCCCAGATACTTAAACACAAGGTAAGTTTAGTCTGCCAGATCTTACTCCCAGATGCTTTAACACAAGGTTAGTTTAGTCTGCCAGATTTTACTCCCAGATACCTTAACACAAGGTTGGTTTAGTCTGCCAAATCTTACTCCCAGATACCTAAACACAAGCTTAGTTTATTCTGCCAAATCTTACTCCCAAATACCTTAACACTAGGTTAGTTTAGTCTGCTATATCTTACTCCCAGATACCTTAATACAAGTTTAGTCTGCAAGTTTTAAAAAGCATATACTTTTACATAGTAGACACAAATTAAAAACATTATGTAACCCCTTCAGTCCTCATACGGAACTGGAGCTAAGCTCGGATTGCAAGTAGTTCGGCCTATGATAAGGACAATGTATTAGCTCTTTTGTATATAGCTATAGGTCGGACGGATAACAAGTCATCTCATCTAAATCGTGTAGGATGATTCGGCTGGTAAAAAATGGAGAACCCAAGCAACATTGGACCGGGAATTATATTTTCTATGTTTGAATTCAAGCCAATAGGCATGAGACACGGCTTGACATGAGGCAGAAGGAAGGTGCTTAAACCGAAACAGAGTTTGTGTTTACAAGGAATCCGAAGATGGAAGATTAACTGGTCGTATGAGGCGAATGAAAGGCGGCGAGTCCGTCAGAGAGCTCTGGCTTTCTATGATTCATTAGCATAATTTCTATTTGTCCATTTTTACTAGTAAATACATTTTTTCCTATACTTTGTAGATCACATCAGTTTTCAGGCTTTAGATTTCCTTATACCATCTTTATAGGGTAACAATACATAAACGTACCTAGTAAATATACAAACTATACCTGTACAAGTGTACATAGCTGGTAAATATACAAACTAATGTACATAGCTGGTAAATATACAAACTATACCTGTACATAGCTGGTACAGCGACCGCTACAAGCAAATGAAGGGATAGGTTTAGGAATACAGCCAGGATGTTGGAGTACATGGATTACAGGAGTCAGATGACATTCATCACAAACAAAATTTATATATAGATTAGAGAAATTGAGAGATTCTGTTAAAACAGTTTTAAACATTATTTTGTGACTTAGTGATTGTAAAGCTATAGGGATTAGAAAATCAAAGTTTTAGTCAAGTTTTTTTTTCATTTAGTTAATGAGGTTTAAATATTTTTTCCTAAAAGAGCCAAGAAGGCTAGGAGAGCTGGTCTTTGTCCACTCATTTTCCTAAATACCAAGAAGTTTTGACTTTGGTGTTCTGGGGAATGATACAAAGGATGAGACTTTGGTAACCACCAAAAAAGTCCTAAAATTTCACACTAAAAAAGTCATGTGGAAAAAAGTCCTTTGATTAAAAAGTCTCCGGAAATAAAGTCCTACCAATTCGAGACATTATTTTCTAGGACTTTTTTCTGGATCCAGTATGATTTTATACAAAAAAGTCCTCTAACAAGTGAAAATGCATGATTCACAATCCTAGGTTTTTCTTTTCCTCTGATTTATTTTCTTCAGGACTTTTTCCTGGGATCTTATTTCCTGAGACTTTATTGGCAGCCCCCATACTATTTTAGGAAAAAAAAGACCCAGGAATCCAAAACACAGGACTTTATTTCCAGTGACATTTTTTCCAAGGACTTGATAAAATTCGGACTTTTTTTCCAAAGTTTTTATTTCCAGGTTTTTCTTCCAGAAACTTTTTTTCCCGGGACTTTCTTACATAGATTCGAGACTTTAGAGACTATTTTAAGGATTTCAATCACATCTATACATTCTTCTTTCCTGGCAAAATATTTCAATATTATTTCTATGTAGAATGAAAATTGGTTTGGATAGGTGTGTCTGGGATGAGGTGTGTCAATATTAGGTTGAATCTGCTCTGCATCTGTGAACTATTGTACCAGATCATATTTATACATAAATATGAAAGGACTTTTCTCTCTCTCTCCTCAATGGGGCCCTGGAACATCTTTTTATTAAGATGGATCAGTCCGTCCACTTCACTGCAATCCTTTTATTGTCGTAGATATAGTTGATACATTTTATGTGTGTTTACCAATTAAAAAGTTTTTTCTTCTTTACATAGAATACATATCATCAACGAGAACTTTTTCTAGCAAAATCCATATACTAATACTATAATGGTAACACCCAGCCTGATCTTTAATGAAAAAAATATTTTTGATGACAAAATTTATTTACCAGCATAATTAATAAGGAAATATTTATTCTAAGATATCTCATAATCAGGATTAAGTAGGGGCGAAAATTCCCCCCGGCCCCTGGGGTGTGTTTCCTATGTATCCCACTGCATATAAATTAAGGCCTATAAATTAAATTGCATCCCTCTGTATTACTATACCTGAACTCTTGAGTAGTCCCATTAATTATCCTGCTGGTTAAGAGGACTACTGCCCATTTTGCCAGGTTCGGAGTAACCATATCTCGCCAAGGTACAGGGTGTCCCAAAAAACATGGGAATTCAGTGACGAATTCGATATCGTCTTTGTTATGATTTAGCATTGTAATACCTAATTTCAAAAGCCATAATATTATTATGTCTGCTAGAGTTTATTTAATGAAAAGGGTAAAAGACTGCAAAGATGTGTGTATAATGTCTCCGCAAGATGAACAGTGAATACGGACAAGTTTACTCTGTTTGTATACTGTAATTTTCTTGTTTTACTAAGTACAACCGGTTGCAGTCAAAACATAAACAAACAAAATGTGAACATAGCAGACGAAACTCTTACAGATTACAGCTTTCTCAGTAGGTATCACTATACTAAATCAAAGAATTATTTAAAAAAACGATATCGAATTCGTCACTGAATTCCCATGTTTTTTGGGACACCCTGTACGTAAAAAATGTATTGCTCTTTTAAATATAAGAGTCTAGTTTGTTGGTTTGTTATACAATACAATAAGTTCTCTGCTGCTGCTAGTATGAAAAAAAATAAAAAGGAAAAGACTAATTAAACTGTATATAGATTATAGGGGTGCAAGGCGCCCAGAATTTGAAGTCAAGTTACACTATCTAAACTTCTGAAGCAAATTTTCAACATAAAAGACAGTAAAACTTCTCGTGTTTTCTTGTTGCTATAAACTGTACTTAAGAATTTAATATTGTCACAAAACGTCCAATTTACATATTTACACTGCTCCAGAAACTTGTATATTCAAGAACACTAGAAAACAAGTCTTAAAACTATAATCTTTAAAATATAAAATTAGATTTTCTATAAATAATTGAATTATCCTGAAGATATAAGTGGTTGGTCAATGGTTAAGATGGGATAGTTTCAAAATGTCTAAATCCTCGACACACTAACCACGGTAAATTAGAGATTTAAAATCAGTGTCTTAATGTTGTACCTCGTTAATGAAGGATGTATTTGTATTAAATTTTAAACTATATAACACCAATATTTAATGAGAGATCATAGTATGACTGAAAATATACCAGGGACAATAAAATGGTCCCTAAAGTCCCCCCACACTCAAACCAGCCGGGACAATAAAATGGTCCCTAAAGTCCCTCACGCTCAAACCAGCCGGGACAATAAAATGGTCCCTAAAGTCCCCCACACTCAAACCAGCCGGGACAATAAAATGGTCCCTAAAGTCCCCCACACACTCAAACCAGCCGGGACAAAAAATGAGGTTTGATAGTAATTGAGTCAGGATGAGGAAGGACAAAAATGTGGCACTGGGGATATATGACACAAACTTGTTGAAGAAAGATCCAGGCAGCTAGTCCAGGGCCCGTAAATGGTGTAGTTGGGTTTAATGAGGTTGAACACCAGGGGGCCGAGTTATAGACCTTTATAATAACACTTTAAACCAACAATAATACAACCAGATTAATATATACAAAATACAACCAGATTAATATATATACAATACACCAGATTAATATACATAATACACCAGATTAATATATACAAAATACAACCAGATTAATATATACAAAATATATACAAAATACACCAGATTAATAAACATAATACACCAGATTAATATACATAATTCACAAGATGAATATTTACAAAATACAACCAGATTAATATATACAAAATACAACCAGATTAATATTTACAAAATAAAACCATATTAATATATACAAAATACACCAGATTAATATACATAATACACTGGATTAATATACAAAATTCAACCAGATTAATAAATACAAAATACACCAGATTAATATACATATCACCAGATTAATATTTACAAAATACAACCAGATTAATTTATACAAAATAACCAGATTAATATATAAAGAATACAACCAGATTAATATACGCAGAATACAACCGGATTAATATGTACAAAATACAACCAGATTAATTTATACAAAATAACCAGATTAATATATATAGAATACAACCAGATTAATATATACAGAATAACCAGATTGATATATACAAAATGCAACCAGATTAATATATACAAAATACACCAGCTTAAAGGGACTGTTCACTTATTTGGGTAATTTCAGGGTAAACTAAACAGCCTATTCGCTCTTGATTGGTAATAGTCTTACTTTTCAAAGACAACTGTGGCCGGAGAAAAAGCCGATTTTTCGTTCAGAATTTGAGCGGAAAGGTAATGGTACCTCTCTATAGATAGACACTATTTGATGTTTTTATCAGTATGATGTGGATCAAAATAAATTTCTAATATAAAATTAAACTGTATAGTATCTAATCATTAATTGTAAATGTCGTAATTTTTTTAATTTTTTGTTTTTTAACTTTCTATTTCTAAAATAACACTATTTTATCGCATTAAAAATTGTGTATTGCCTGTGTAAAAAGCTAAATTGAACCCGGCGTGAAAAATGAAAAGTTGCGCACATACGGGAACAAAATTGATAGGAGGGGGGGGAGGGGGTACAAAAATCGTACCTGATTGCTTTCCAGCATTATAAAGTTAATAATTCATTAATTTGAATTTCTCGGACTGCGACTGCATGCTGACGTAATATAATTTGCTTGCGAAATAATACAATCACCTGATTTATTACTTATTAAATTTATTCGCTTTATTCAATGATATTTTAATAAATCAAACTATTACTCAAAAATGCATATAATTGCAAGTGTAATATACGATACATTTTATTCACATCGAACGTGGAGTGAATCTAAGAACCAAAATACGATGGTTAATTGATTGTAGAAGAGAAAGTCGTCTTTGCATACACATTTTACGTGTTTTAAAACGTAAATTTCTTGCTAACTCAAATGTCAAAAGTTTTCATATTTTAGTACATAATAACGAACACATAATGACTTTAAAATATGGTAAATTTAAATTTTATTAAGCTGCTGTTACTGAAAAAGATATCAAATAGTGTCTATAGAGAGGGACGAAGAAGAAGTTTTAAATGAAAAGAACAGCGAAGAAGAGAAGAATAAAAATGATAACAAAGAATAGAACTCAACGAACAACCCTTCCTCCATTGTGTCTCCAGAAGAATGGTTGACAAGGTTTTCTATTTTTAATCAAAAAGTAAAAAAGGTAAACGTATTTTGAATAAGATTTGAAACGGTTCAGCCGTGTCCATTTTGAAATTTTTGGAGACATTGATCATTACTTATTACATAACATATGTATAATTTCAGTTATTACGTAATCATCGAATCCTTCAACATATAAGTTATTCATTCTTATATTTAAAAGTTCTTGTAAAACCGGAACTTTCCATGCATGGTCCAATGGGACATCGAAAAATTTCATTTGTTTCTTAACTAAAATTTTACTAAGATCAGAAAGATTTACAGAACAATCTATGCAATAGAAGATAAATGTCTGCAAAGAACTGTGTTAAAGGTCATTTTTGCATAAATTAGAAAGAAATTCAATGTAAAGCTTAGAACTTGCTTGAATAGTCTCATAGAAAGACACACGTCTACTGGTTAACATAGATTTTACATGTAAACAGTAAAATATTTTCAATCAAGTCCTCTCATACTACATTTTTAATTCATGTTTTTATTGTATGGAGTTCGAAATTGTTTAAAATTCCGACCTTAAAAACGATTTATTTTTTTTTGACAAAAAAAATTGTAAAGTTTTCAAGTAATAATATACAAGCAACACATATACTGTTCATATTTTGAGTATTTTTGGAGGAATTGATGTATACTAAAACAGTTTAATACTTAACGGTGTAGGCTATATATAGGGTAGGGTTATTCATTAAAGAAGCATTCGATTTTCGTTTTTTTCGTAAAAATAAATATATTTTCGCCTATTTATTAGACTTTATATAAGTTTATTTTGATTTGAGTGATAGGACTCAGAGGAGACATTTCAGCAATCTTATGTTTATTAGAAAATCGTTTTTCTATTAGTTTAAAAAATTAACTCATTAAATTAAATGGGTCTGCGACCCTGCACAATTGCTGTATTTCATGTTCATTAAACTAAATACAATCAGACAGTCGAACATACATCTTCTTATTCCACAGATTTATGGGTTTCACTGTATTTGTGTGTTTCTATTTCCGATTATGTATTAATTATCTATTTTGGACACCCTGTTAGCAGTCTGCCAAAATTTGTGTAATTGTAGTGTGGCTGAATATATGGGTGCGTAAGTAATCTAATTGCGTAGGAGTAGTTAGTTGCGTCAGGTTGCGTAGGAGTTAGGGTTGCGTAGGGTGGGAAACTAGCTAGGTGTAGGTTTCTAAGGAGTGTTATAGATTGTATTCGTCATTGTAGACGGATCATTCATAATTATTCTGAAAATCCGCGAACTAATTCTGTCAAATCTACAATCTGCATTACAAAGCAGTTTAGCTATATCAGAGGTTGGAACTTTTGTGTAGTGCATCGCTAAACTTGAACACTTGATCTCGATATCTAATGTGGGCACTTACAAATTTGAGGTTACATGCTCGATCCCGTAATCAATTAGTTATCCCTAAATGGGTTGAACACCACGGGGATATCGAAGAGGAATTAAATTAATCCGCAGGTCTACATAAGTTGTAGATCAATTCTGATTAGGTTTTATATATGGAGCAGAATCGAGGAGGTGTAACTAAACAAATATAGGCGCTACAGGATCTGCTTGGGAGTAGGATATTTTTAAGGAATTTTTAGTGTGTATTGTAGACTGTAGTTTAAGAATTGTAAATTATCTTCGCTAATTCGAGGTAATTGTGTAAATTGCGTAGGTTTTTTAGCTTTTGCCAACTCTTGGACTTGTATGCGAGGTTTGAAAGGGTTTGCACAGGGATTAATGATTTGCAGAATAATTGCATATAAAAAGTTGTGAAGGGAATGGTAGAACGAGAATATTTATTAGGATTAATCGTGAACAACCTACTGCAGGGAGTTCTAGTAAAAAATATCCATTAATGTTGACTTTTTTGTGTGCGCCCAAAGACTCCATGGTAAAACAAAATTATTTTGAAAGAATATTTCGCACTAACTGCTTATAATTGGAATATCATCATATTTTCTATTACACCCTGTAACTCCCACTCATGTACAAATGAACCTGAATTATCTGGAGAAAAGTTGAGTATAAGCACAAAGAGTCCAAATCACAATTTCGCCTGGCGGAATCACACAAACAGTAATATAACAATAATTATGTAAATAACTTGTTTATTTGAGAATCGTTGAAATGTTTTAATAATTGTTTGATAAGTCAGTTTAAAACAAAATGTTAAAGTTCTAATCTCAAGTCGAGAATTATTAAAACTGATTAACATGGGACAGGGATCTATGCAACGGAATTTTTTATTATTAATGTAAAGCTAATACCTCCTGTATAGACCTATGTAGGTTCAGGTTCAAGTTCAGGTCCGGGGTAGGGTTCAGATTCGGCTTATAGTTCAAGTTCTAGTTAAAGTTCAGGTTCAGGTTCAGGTTCAGGTTCTAGTTTAAGTTCAGGTTTAGGTTCAGGTTCAGGTTCAGGTTCAGATTAGGTTTAGGTTCGGGTTTAGGTTCAGGTTCATGTTCAGGGTATGTCCTTTTATAGAATGGTCTAATTAAAATCTATCCAAAGGAACTAAGTTCTCACCACAAACTCAAATATTATCATCCCTATATCTAAGCAACCTTTGATACTTTCAAACTTAAACTGTTTGATCATATAGATTTCATAGGTTGAAATATCGAAGGTTATACGACATCAGGTTGCAAAGATATAGGGATTAAAGTAAAAGAGTTTTTGTTTGACTTTAGTCAGTTATCATTGATTTGTATCACAGTAAGTGGATAACTTATTCTGATAACAATTGTCTTTTTTTAACTCAACCAAAATCCGGCGTTTTTCCTTGTAAATGTACCTGTCCGACGTTTGCACTAGTCCGACGTTTTTCCCAGTCCGACGTTTGTACTGTCCGACCTTTGTACCGTCCGACGTTTGAATTATAGTACCGGTACTGATGCAGATACAGGTACACGTACAAGTAGTACAGCCTACAGGTAAAGGGACAGATGCTGGTACAAGTTGTTTCATGTACAGGTACAGATGAAGGTACAAATAGTACAGGTACAGGTACAGATGCAGGAACAAGTAGTACAGGTACAGGTACAGGTACAGGTACAGGTACAGGTACAGGTACAGGTACAGGTACAGGTACAGGTACAGGTACAGGTACAGGTACAGGTACAGGGTACAGGTACAGGTACAGGTTCAGGTACAGGTACAGGTACAAATAGTACGGGTACAGGAACAGATACAGATGAAGGTACAAATAGTACGGGTACAGGTAAAATCCTATTTCTAAAAAAAAGACATTTTATAAAGCAACTGAACACCTGCGCAAACTATAATTTTCTAATCCTTAAATCTTTTCATCAAGATGTCGTAGTTCTTTGAAATTTCAAACTATGAATTTCGACAGAACATTTAGATAGTTTTAATTTGAAATATTAAAAATTTGTTATCAGGTTACAAAGTTACAAGAATTAGAAAATTAAAGATCGTGGTAAGTTTTGTCCATTTGAAGGAGAAAGAACCATGCCAAAAAAAAACAATTGGGGCATTGAATTATCTGTGTTTGATCAAATATGTAGAAATAATCAATTCTCTGTTAAAATGTTTAAATTGATTTCAAATTAAAAAAGATTGTGTAGATAAATATTTATTATTTTGTTTGATAGAAACAACTTGTCATTTGAACGCTTTTAACATGTTTGAGGGGTGGTGACATTTTAACTAGAAATGACCAACAATTAAATTAAAATGAATTAATTGCATAAAATACATTTGGCAGCCTTAACTGTTTACAAAACATAAGATTTTCACGAAATTAACCAATTAGAGTTTAAAGATAAAAAAATTTACAAAGAAAAATCCGCAATCCTACTTTTAATTGTCTACCATATTTCTGGAAAAAAAGAGTCGTGATAAATCAACAAAATTACTTAAAAAATGTTCATGAAAGAAATTGAGATTTTGCCACAAACTCTGATTCTTTAATATTCTTAGCTTTGGAACCCAGTGTAGTGGACATATTTCAAACTATGATTTTTTTGTCCATGGCACATTTGGCAACTTTTCTACACTGAGTCAAAAATAAAAGTTGACGTAATTTCAATTGTGACCCTTAATTTGGCACGTCCAAACCAAAACAGTATCTTTGCGTATATTTCCTACAGAAACAAGGTAGGAAATTTTCAAAAATAAACACTTTTCAATGGAGAAAAAACGGTAATATCTTCCACATCATTGATCAAGGATCAGATAAAGGTTTAAATGGTACCGTTGTGAATTGGGTATGCTTCTCTTAAGATATCGGTCACTTGAAATGATAAGAACAGTCTCTTATTTTTTTGTGAATCTTTTTTACTATCTATCTATTCACCTATCTATCTGTACCAATCATGCACGTGCGTGTCCTGATCATGCATGATGGGGGCATGACTCAGTTTAGCCTCATTATCTTACCAAGTGTGAAAGGTCTGTTTGTGTGTCTGTGTGTGTGTATGTATGGTTAGGTGAAGGTGGTCGCGTTGCCAGATGGTCTCCTGGCCCTCAGTCGTGTCTGGACTCTCAGGGAGTCAACTTTTGAGCATGACCCTACGCTCTTCGGTAGGATTTGGTTGGATTTACGCACAGATACGCATACAGGGCTTGAATTTGAACTGACGCTTGTTGCTAAGTGACCGGTTTAGATTTTGTGATAACTAGACGGGGTAAACTTTCAAGTGCATTTGAGTATAATTTTACAATTTGTGTTCATGAGTTATTTAATTTGATTCTGCTTACTCTTTAGCTTGCATTCAGCATTCATTTTCATCATTTTCATCATTTTAATTGATAAATCTATATTCACGGGTGATGTAAATGATGTCAACAAAAATGCAAAAATGAAATGTTTTTAAATGTGTTTTTTTTCAATATTACAATCTTTTCCGGTCGTCCGAAATGATTCAGATATTATTTTGAAAATGGAAAGAATTATTTCAATATTATTTTCTTCATAATATTTCATTTTACTTTTTCCTTAGATGTCTTTGTCAATTATGTTGAAACTAAAATGAATCTTAATCTTGATCAACATTTTCAAGATTCCAAGTTCGGATTAACAGATTCGAAAATTTAATTTTTATAAATTTAGAACCTTAATTTGGTCTGCTTATAAACTGCTAAAATTTTCCAATATTTTTCTGGGTTTTTGTTGTTTAAAGACTCTATTTGAAAATTTATTTTTTATTTTTAGGAATGCTTCCTACCAACGAGCCTGCTGTAAGCTTAGGTTAATGCATATTTGGGCACATCGATCTATCTTTGTTTTTTGTCTACCATATAATCTATAATTTCAGTCTGTTTAATGCTATATATTCATTTATTCAATTACACATCCATCAAATTATGGTTTTTTGGCTGTCACACTTTTTTCTCCTATCTTAATCCTTTTATTTACCTGTTTTAGTTCACTTTCTCCGATCAAAAAAGTATTAAATTTTTATTTCTAAAAATATTGACTGAAAGATCCTAAATCAATCAATTAATGAATTGATCAATGCTTGGTGCAGATCAAAGTAAACCATTTGATATTTCTGGCAGAAGATCTTCTTCAGTAGAAGCATCATCAGCCCCCTCTTCACCAGCAACTTCAGGAATATCAATTATAACCTTTTTTTGTTCTTAGCAAGGGCAAAGTCCCAAATGCCTTTTTCCAAAATGTATATTTTCCAAAGTGAAGGTTTTCCTAAAGAATATTTTTAAAATGTTAATTTACGCTAGAAAACAGTTTTAATGTGTGCTTTTTTATTCTTAACATCGAGCTTAGTTAATTGTTTCCAAAATTTTAAAATACAGGGTGAGTCAAAAAAAGTGTGATTTGCAGCGCCTGGTGAAAAATTGTACCTTTTTTGTGCAAGTCTCCTGAATGGTGTTTTTTAAAAATTTTTTTTGAAAATTTGTATTTTTTGGTACTCCAATGGCGCAAAAAAAAATCGGCGAACATTTTTTTCTCTAAAAATCAAAAGTTCAGAATAACAAAAATGTGTAAATAACTTGTTTCTATCGAATTCTATAATTTTAAATAGATAAAATCACAGAATTGCAGAAAATTTGCAAAATTGTAATAAGAAAATTCGCAATTTTCAGATCTGGTCTAATTTTTACGGAAAAATTGCTTTTCAATGGTTCTCAAGGTTTCAACTGAACAGCGTATATTTAATACTTTAGAATATACTAAGAAGAAAGGAACTAGAGAATTCAAATAACTTTTCGTTAAAAATTAGACCAGAACTAAAAATTGAGAATCCTCGAACCCACTTTGCATTGTACACTACTGTTAAATGGACATTGTATACATACATACTGTACAACAATAGGGGATTGTTCTCACGCTAATCAAGATTTGAAAACAAAATCAATCCATTCACTTCAAACTTTTTATGCAGTTTCATCTTTCAACCTTTACCCTCCTCATTCACAACTAAAAATAGATTCTAAAGAACACAATTGAAAAAGTTGAATATGTTTTTTTTAACAACATCGCCATTTTTTCTATTTATAGATCATTCATGACAAATTATAACAAATTGGAACCAAAATTTAACTTACAACTATAAACATGGGAATCAAGAGACGACTTGAATATCGTCTTAAATTTCCGATAATTGATAAATGACATGAAGTGTATCAAAAAAGATGGAACGTCTAATGAATTTTCTAAAATGTGGTCGACCTTCTTTGTATCTTTAAAATGGACTTTTTAATTAACTGGAATCTGTACAAATTTCCTGATATCCCCGTCAATTTTGAAGGTAAAAAAATGGTAGACCACATTTTGGAAATCCCAAAGACAAAGTTTTCGGTATTTTATCTGTGATACTACAAAATCATATTTAAAAAATTATTCCACTTGGAACAAAGACTATATAGAAGTCGTCATTTAATTCCCATGTTTATTGGGATACCCTGTACAAAATTACAATATGGGTTAACTGGTTACATGATGAACAGGTCGATCAAGCCGAGGTTCTTCCTCCCAGATATCTCCAAGTAGGATCCCTAGACGGAGTTCTAGCAAGGGAAAACCAAACCAACCTGATATAGTCGTCTCCACTAATAATAGGAAACCTTCATAATCAATCCAGACACATTTGAGATAAAAAGAAATTGAGTCTTTGCCACAAACTCAAATTTTCTAATCCTAGTATCTTTGCAACCTGATTGTGTAAACCTTTGATATTACAAAAGAATTAAGTCTTTGCCACAAACTAAAATTTCTAATGCCTTTAAGGATTAGAAAATTTTACTTTGTTCAAAGACTCAATTCCTTTTGTGTTCTGGGGTTTTCAAATTTTGACCGCTAGGTGGTGTATTCCTTGATAACTAGTTTTGAAAAGAGACACAAAACGAATAAAAATTAAAGCTAGTTTACCGGAGAAAGGCTAATTATTTTTATTCAATATAAATTGTGAAATTCCTCAAATCAAATATGACTAAAAAATGAATTTAAAAAACATTGTTGACTTATCGAATTCATCAAAATCATTGAATTATAGTTTATATTTTAGCTTACACTTACAAAAATATTAAACATAAATTAAACCAATCATATTGGGCAAACCCAAACACGGGCAGAATATATGTAATAAAAGAAATAAACTAGTTATAACAACCTTCATATCACCCTTTGTTTGATATATCTGTACCATTCTTATTTTTAATCTATTTGCCCTTAAGCAATTTTAATCAATTTTATATTTTTATTACAACTAGATACCCCTTGTCCAGCTGTTAATAAGGATACAACAACAATTCTCAACAGTACCTTTAAACCTTACAGTGGGGTATGCACAATTCTCAACAGTACCCTTCACGTGGATTTAATGGTTCTGTCAATATTCCAGAAAGCTATGACTTTCGATCACAATTTCTCCTATTAAACATAATTTTTCAGCCTTCTTTCTAAAATACTTTTTTGTCGGCATATACGTTTTGAATAAAAAGTAAAAAACAAACAAATCCGTAACTTTAAAGATTGTTAAAATAGAAACCAAAACGCGTATGATTTCAAATAGAAGAAACCGAATGCCTCTAACTCTGGCCTTTAAACCTTACAGTGAGGTATGCACAATTCTCAATAGTACCTTTAAACCTTATAGTGGGGTATTCAAACTATTTGATTTGACATAATTCATGATTTAAAAATTGACGTCGGTTTGCAAAGATATAGGAATAAAAAATCAGAGTTTGAGGCAACGATACCTTTTAAACCTTTATCTTATCAAAAATGTTAAAACAAAGCGTTTGCCAAATAACTAAATAAACCCAAATTTATTTCTAAATGTTTCGTTCATTTTGTTTTAAAGCTGGTTTGTCATGGAGAACCGATTATGAAGGTTTCCTCTAGTGTGCTTGTCTCCGCTAGTCCTAGGATACTCAGGAAAAATTTCAAGGCAGAAGGTAGAGCTAGGTCTCATCAGCGCAAACTAAGGGACAATTCAAGAATTTTTATTAAATCAGACGATTTATTTGAATTACGATTTCAATTACAAAAATTTAAAGAAATCATTCCTTTCCATGAGGAACATAATCTACTTGACAGAAGGAGAAGGTACGTGCACTGTGACCTCGTAGCTCAAACTTAACTTTTCAAATCTCTATATATTTGCAATCTGAGGGTGTATATGTCATATTTCAAAGTTTTATTATTTGATCATAACAGAATTTATAGTTTGAGAAAACTCAAATCCTTTATTTAGTTACATATTATAAATCTAAAAATGAATAGCTCAATAAAAGGAGTTTTGATTGGAATATATAAGATTTATGTCTAACTTGATATTTTTTCAATATAACGTAGAAAACTTCTCTTGTCAAATTGTTTCAAATCTTGTTTTGATAATTCACGATTCACTAGATCTTTTAGATTCTACCGTTAGACAATTTAAAAACCTTCTCTTCCCCAATTTAAACTTGAATGTAAAACAACAAAACTTTGTGTTAAGTAGACTGCCAGCCCGCATACTTTAGCTTGGTTACAAAGAAAATGTCAGGAAAGGAACTGAGGTGTTGTCACAAACTCAAATTATCCAATCTATTAATTTGCAACCTTGTAGATGAAACCTGTGACGTTTCAAACTATTTGATTTGACATAATTCATGATTTAAAAATCGACGTCGGGTTGCAAAGATATTGGAATAAAAATCAGAGTTTGAGGCAAAAACTCAATTTTTTTCTTTAATTTTTGACATTTTTGAAAAAAAACATTGAATTGTTTAGTAAGATGGATTCGAGCAACCCAACCATAGTAATATCAGAGGTAGGAAAAACGTAATTTAAAATTTTTTATTTTGTGTGGCATAGCGCTAATTTGCAACGCTTGATCTCGATATCCACTGTCTCAATTTTTACATTTGATGGATGCTTTTTTGAAGTTTTTAATTTTTAAAGTTATAATTAGGTTTGGTTCCGCCCATTGGGATATCTAAGGGGAATTTATTTAATCCTTCGAACGGCAAACATTTGGACAATTGTTTAATCCTGAGACGAACCAAATACTAGTTCTAACCTCAGATTGTACAGAATGTTTAATCCTGAGACGAACCAAATACTAGTTCTAACCTCAGATATCCTGAGACGAATCAAATACTAGTTCTAACCTCAGATTGTACAGAATGGAAAACTAGTCCCTGTAATTTGTAAATACTCAAAGCTTAAAAATGAGTTTTTAAAATAAATTTATGATTAGGATTTGGAAAAGATTGAAATGGAGTCGGACAATGAAGAATCGGAAACAACGGTAAAAAGTTTTGAAATAATATTTTTTCAAACTCCTAATAAAGGTTGAAACGTGAGTATGTCTAAATTCATTAATGATTTAAGTTGAATTCCTGAATATTGTTTGACAAGTACGTATCATTGCCATATGAGCGTAAAAAAACAAAATACTAAACTCTCAAAATCTGTTCTTTAAAAATATAGTATGCCTTTTTGTAACTTTTTAAATGTAACAAATTCCGGGGAAAAAAATATTGGAAAACATACAAATAAAGTAGAAGAATTCAAACTGCCATCAATAAATTAAAAGTAAAGAATTCATGAAATTGAATGGACTTGAAAAAATCTATAATTTTACAATTTTTTGTTTTATGTTCAGGTTGCTCATGGTGTAGCTGAACTAGTTGAAGGGTTTGCTCAGGTTGTTGAAAATGTTATTCAAGCTGAATATCAAGAGGAGAAGGAGGAGAAGGGGGAGAGGGTTGAGACCATAGGGGAGATGGTGGAGGTCGATGAACCTCCTTTCACCAGGAATAACTTTTAAACTTTTTTGCGGAATTTCAAGATTTATGAATATTTTGGACAAATCCTATTTTTTAAAATCAAATTAGAATTGAAAATTTAAATTATTGTATAAATCAAACTAAAAAAGTATCTTCTTTCTTTCAACTGTTAATTTGATGTGGAGAATAATTTTCTAATCTGTTGGATCAAAAAATCAAAGGTTTACACGATCAGGTTGAAAAGATTTGTGGATTTTAAATTTAAGTTTGTTACAAAGAGGACTCGTATTCTTTTCTTTTGAATCAATGATAAAAGTTGATTGGTACAGGGATGTTGCTTATATTTGCGGAGAAGAAACCTATTGCGAGCAATTAATAAATCAGGTTGGACATTTTCATCTTTAGAATTTTAGTCATGCGCACCGGAGATTCTAATGCCACGCAGTTTTCTCTAGGATAATCTTGTTTGTTTATTTTTTATCATGAGTTTTCGATCTGTAAGGTTGTTTTCTTATTATTAAATTATATGGGGCTGAAATTTCAGCTTTAGTGAAAATAAATCTTAAAAAAAATTCGTTAGTAAAAGAAAACTTTATTTCAGAATATTCTTGTACACTGTACAATGTTTCATAAATCAAATTAAAAGACTTTTTGTTCACCCTGTATATTTCTTTACATTCAGATTAAAGTTTCAGATCAAATGCGTACAAATACAATTACAAATAAGGATTTAGTGACAAATTAAAGGCTAGGGGTGTTACCCTTTTAGGCTTAGCAGTGTTCAGTTTTAAGAACTAAATACGTTTAAAGGCTGCTAACAATCGTAAACTAACATTTTATTTGGTTTTATTATAGACCACAATGCATGCATGTTTAATCTTTAAACTTTTATCTTTAAAGAGATTGTACACGGAAAATTGAGGATTAAAAGGGCGTAGGGTAAACATATTGTGAATTGTTTACTGCTCTTTTAAATGCTATTTAATGTTTCTGTGAAAAGAATTAGATCAAAACCGTTCTCCATGGACGCCAAAAATGCTACAAACAACAAAAGTCGGCTCATCTGTAGCGACGTAGCTTCAGGGGCGGATCCAGCTCTTCGAAAGGGGGGGGGAGCAAACTCCAAATTTTTTTTTAAGGAATTAGCTTTGAGTTGGACCCCTTTACACCCCCCTGTATCCGCGACTGCGTAGCTTGTGTACTGTATTCCAGCAAATTGAGAGAATTTTGTTGGTCAGTTTTAAACCAATCTATTTTCACAAACAAAAAGAAATAAAAGTGCCGCTCAATCGATCCATAATTCACTTAAAGACTGAAGTTCATACCAGACCTCATTTCATTTTTGCGTACACGCCCTTTAGAAAAATGTACTTTACAATTGATCCTAATCCTGACAAGCTGTCACTTTCGAACCCATTTTGATTTTTAGCTTTCAATATTTTTTACTTTTTGTCGGTGTAAAGTGTAAACGTTTAAAGTGAAAAAGAATATAGATGGATTGTATGCGATGACTAAATGAAAGCAAGTACAGCAACAGCTGCATAACATAGCCTAGGATTTATAAAAAGAGGTGCCTTATTAACTTCAACTGCAAAAAATAGGAAATTATCTTATTATCTTTAGTTGAACATATTTTACACCTACCATCTAAACTCGAATTATATTTATAGATGGAAAGCAGATTTAAAATCAAATCATGGTAGCATGAGTTTAAATCATTCATGATTGCATTTACGATATAGTTTCTATTATAAGAATCATATCATGAAATTTATAACTATAATTAGAAATAGCTCAATATTTTTAAAATACCTCCGTAAATTATGAATTTACAAGATATAAGACAAAGGATGCATGTCTGAAATCCCAGGATCATAAGAATGTTAATCTTTGTTGGGACTTTCTACAATCTTGAAATTTATTTAATATCATTATAAAGTCCTCTTTCATGGTATCTCACTGCAAAAACTCGTCATTTGAACATCTGAAATTGGGAAATTTTCACTGAACTCTCATTTTAACGGCAAAAGTTATGTTTTTTGAAACTCCCTGGACAAGATTTAACATGTTAACATGTTGATGCATCGATGGTCCTTTGCGAGGTTATAATCTCCATCTTGTATTGCACTTTGCAATTAAAGTGTCTTGACACGACACGGACACAATGAAATATATATTTAGAACCGGTTTCAACTTAATTACAAATTTCAGCTTCAATAGTTCCAAATGCAGTGCTGCCTTTAATGTATTTTTTAATTAAAAATAAGCCTCAAAAGAAGCAACAATTAACTATGCTGGATATGGACGCTAGATTTTTTGCAAATAATTAATTCTTAAATACTCTTGTTTTGTTGCCCGTTGATAATATCCTTTTATCTTAATCTTAAAGGGACTGTATACGTAATTACAAATCATTCTCACACGTCCAACATACTTTACACGTAAGATTGGAAGCTCACAAGTTTTAGTCATAACTTCTCTAATTGAAAAGCTATTAAGATACGAGGTCACAAAGTTGTACCAGAGAGATATAAGATTTACCTTTATAGAGTGGGATGCCTAATTTACAATACGCCCCTTAAACCTTTATCTGTGTAACTATGCGGAAGATATCATTGTTTTAAGCCTTGAAGAAAATTCTACCAAAACTCTACAGTGGTGTAAATACAAGTAGAACTGGTGTTATGTAAACAAACACAATTTTGTAAACAATGAAAACAGAGCCTTGTTTATAATTGTTGTTTCTGTTTACAACAATCACATTCAATCCTCTCTCCTACGTTCTACTGTCATTGATATTTGAAAAGTAACGGCTCTTCTTCCAGGAATATTAATTATCCAATTAATATTCTGAAATATGTGTAATTATAAATTCATCCAGAGTATACATGAATATTAATTACTTGAAATCTAGAGTGTTCAGTAAATGCATAAATTATTTTATTTTCCACCTGTTAACTTTTATCCAAAGAAAGCAAGGTTGGAAGGTTTAAGAAAGCTTACGCAATTATTCTACAGCAGATTAAGTTGTATTTGAATTGCGTCATCGTTTTATTATTCCCTTGATTTATTTTCTTAAATCTGCGTCAAAATAGCTGTTATGACTTCCAGAACAATCTTCCTCTTAATTTAAGGGAATTGAATCTCTGTTCAACCTCAAATTTTCTAATCCCTATAACTTTGCAACCTTATGGTGTAAACCTTTGATATTTCAAATTTAGATCACTTAATCTATCAAAATTCCATACTTTCATATATCTATGCTCTACTACATTGTGTTGCAAAGATATAGGCATGGCAAATTTTTTTTGGCGAAGAGTCATTTCGTTTGTACGGGCATTCTCATATTTTCTTGGAAGTTTACTTGAAAATACGCTTACAGTTCCTTTCACGAGATATAGCCTGACTAAAATGTATTAAAAACCCATGACAGTTTTGAATTTCAAATTGCTAGGACATGATCCAACCCTACACACATAGGAGTGTGTATATTGGAATATTCTTATACTGTAAACGATAAAGGATTGCGGGACTATCAATCTATCAAGTTTCAAAACTTTTTATTCAATATTTAAACATGGATAGAAGACAGCTGATAGGGCCCCTGCTAGAACAAATATCCTCCTGTAGGGTATGTGACTCTTGATAAT